GTCTGGTTACCCCCTATTTGAAAACCTCTGATCTGCTTTAAGAAAACTCCTCTGGCACCCAGCCCTGCCTCTGGCCCCAGCGTTGCTCCCAGCCCCTGTGACTGGGATGGCACCCAGCACCTGTCTGCCCCCGAGCTTCTGTTTGCCTCCATTCATGTGGAACATAACTGAGGTTTCACCCAAGAACAATCACAGAGGGATTCCCCAGGGTGCCCCGGCTCGGAGCTGAGGGGAACTGGAGGAAATCTGCAGTATTTGAAAGGTTTGACCAGTTGGTACAATCCAGCCGATCCATATGTACTACAGTATATGTCAGATAGCTGAGACTTGCCTAAAGAGCAGCATGTGACGTCTCTCTATCTGTGCTAAAATGTCAAATCCTTACCTTTCTTTTTGTAGTACTCGTCCTCGTACCCGTCAGATGAGTCTGTGTGGTAGTTCAGCAGTTCATTCTGGTAGAGTGCACCATAGTCCACTTGTTTATTTTTGGATTTCTTCCCCTTTTTCTTTTTATCTTCATCACTGTCTGCAGATCCCTTCTTTGCCTTCTTCTTTTTCTTTTTCTTTGAGTCCTCCTCCTCTTCCTGCTCCTCAATCAAGGGCTCCTCATCATCATCATTGTGAGATTTCTTCTTCTTCTTGCCATCTTTAGATTTTTTATCCTTGGAGCCCATCTCCTCCTCTCCCTCCGGGTTTTCTGCTGAGGATTTCTTCTTCTTTTTCTTCTTCTCCTCCTTCACTCCCTCAGTCACTTCCTCTTTAAGCTTCTCTGATTTCTCCTTTTTGGAATTGGTCGTGGGGTCATTATTGTTCTGCTCATCCTCTCCAGCTTCATTTTCAATCACAGCACCAGGTTCAGAATCATCATCTGGTTTCCTTTTCTTCTTTTTCTCTTTTACTTTTTCACCCTCTTTTTTCTTCCTCTCTTTCTCTGTGGCCTCCTGATTCTCAGAGCTCTCGGCGCTCTTGTGTTTCTTCTGACTCTTCTCTCCTTTTGTGGTGTTCCCACAGGTCACACCGTTGCTTCTCTCCTTTAACTTTGGCTCCGTTTCCTCCAATTCGTCATCAACCTCTTCGGTTTCTTCTGAAGCTGTGGATTTTTTCTGTTTCGACGGCATCTTTTATTCATTCACTTCCCTGGCCTTTAGTTTCGTAAGTGCTGCCTTGAGTTTCTAATGGTGTAAGACAATTCATTTGACCCTTGGCTGCAGGGTGGTTCTGGGATTGTGGGGTTCAAAGCGCCCTGGGTGTGTTCGGCTGTAGGTATATCAACTCAGGACATGCAGAGGGACCGATGGCTGCCTGGATGTGTCCTACCTGGGCAGTATATGGCCATACAACCAACACACACTACTCATGAAAAATTACTGTCACTTCAGCACTCACGTGACCCATGGGAGAAAGCCCTGTGAAAAAGGAGCCTTGCACAGAGAACTTATCCTCTCTGCCACGGCACTCTCCATTATTCATGGTGTCAGGATCGCTTTACGGGCCGGGGGCGTCTCGCTTTTACCTGCAGTCACACGAACACAGACAGACAGACAGACACACGCACACACATAAACACACACACAAACTCTCCCTTACAACTACTCCCTTTTCTGATATAACAAAGTGTGGCAATGAGTATAAATCACAATCACAAGTCCTGAGGAAGAGAAAATCATGACTGACAACAAACTTTATCTCAAGATTTACAAGGAGTAAATATCAGCAACGATTTATTTCCTTTATGGTAGCTTTTAGCCAACTTCAATGAATAGAATAGTTTCACATTTTGAGAAATACACTTCTTATTAGCTTTCTTTCCAAGAGTAAGATGAGAGGATTGATGCCATTGTCGTGTCTGCAGACTGGATATACAGCTAGCAGGTGGTTATCTTGGCTTAGCATAGGTTTACTTATTACATTGAGTAATTTAAATAAACTTTATTTCAACTTGATAAAGAAAGAAAAACAAAATATGTGCATGACATCTGTCTTTATCAAGTCTGTGTTTAGTAATAGAAAAAATTGCTGTATGCAAATATTTGTTGCAGTTCCATCACATTGTTCACACTTGACTAAAAGCCAAATAATCCCATTAGCCTCATTGCCGCCACCTGGCACCTGATAATGTAGGCATCAAGGGGAAGGGCAGAGTTTGGTCATATTGATCTTTCAACATCAGGTTACCTAACCTAGGGATGACAGCAGAGTCAAACCTCATTTGACACAGTGAACTGAGGAGTCATTCCTCTAAAATAAAAGACAAAATGCTGCAGTTTTCTCTTAACCAATCACCTTTATAACATCCATGTAACAAGATTATATTGTGTGATCAAATATTGTAAATTGACTTTATATCTTGGGATTCAAATCATAGCTTCGTCCAGTTCAGAGAGTCAGGGCTTTGTTCAGCTCGCTTAATTCACCAAACCTTTTAAATCTAATTTGGCCTCAATCAAAATAAAATGAATTACTTACTTAAATGGTGGTGGTGTCACTGAACACACACCCGCTGACCATCACAATATGTTGTTTTTGTTCCCTGTCAGAGCTGAAGTACCCCTTCATCATGTTCTTTTGAACTGATTAAATTAAATAAGATGTTATTTCATACTATTAATTACATTAAAGTGGATATTGTTCAAACATAATTGTGTAAAACTGTTATTCCATCAATTTAAACTATTTAATTGTACAATACTTTGAGTTATCTATTTAAATTTTTTATCCATTATTTTTGTGTTTCAACTGTTTTGTAGCTATTTCAACAATTTTTCAGTTACATTTAGTTATTTAACTACTTCAACCAAAATTACTTTTGGCTATTTTGTTTCAACTGTTCATCCATTACTTAGCTATTGTAACACCTTGGGTTATTTTGATCATAAAGCCTAGGCTATTGTCCTTTATTTTCCGTTTGTATAGTTATGTAATATTCTATAATATGTTATAGTGTTTAAATGTGTGTAACCATTACATCGGGAGTAGTGTAAATTACCACGACAGTGAATGTAACATAAAAAGTTTGTTTGTAACGTAAAGTTGTCTTCACGTGGTGAAGAGAGTGAGAAAACTTAACCTGTTAATTTAGTCTCACATACTATATTGCGATGTTGTATCCTCCTTTCCTATTGGTCAGTTATAAAGCAACGTCAAGTTCCTTGGTTACTGATTGGCCAGGGGGCGGGAGAACAGGAAACGGTGGGACAGAAAGGTGCGTGAGAGCAGTTGATCAGGCATAGCTACTTCCTCCCGATCGGGGGAAGAAAGGCTAACAGTTAAGTGTGTAAACAAGGTGTTATCGTTGTCAGTGTGCTCCACAAAGTGTAGTATGGACATAACAAAGCTCAATTAGTTAAAGTCAGTGACACTTTGATTAACTACCGCGTTTTCAGCGTGTCGAAATAAGTGTGTGTTTCGTCTGAGGTACAGCACGCTAAGCTAGCACCTCGGTGGATATGACGAGAGCGAGAGGAGACCAGATAGCGCAGTGGGTGACCAGGTAAAACCCAGCTGCACCTCTGGCTACGAGGGAGGAGAGGCCTTCTTCATCCACGATAAAGGACTGGTGAGAGGAGCAGCCCGCTCGGTTTCTTTGGACAGCGGTAGACTGGACTGGGCTGAGGAACCGTGATACAAAGCGCGGCCACAGTCAGCAGCCGTCATCTCCAACGTGGCCCAACGCACACCAGCCACGAACAGGCCTGCATGGAGAGGTTTAATTTTCATTATGTAGTTTTCATATGTAGTTAAAGGTAGCTTAGAATTACCTAAAGAGTAAAAAAGAAGTTAAAGGAGTTAAAGAGTAATTAAAGGAAAGAGTTTTTTATGAGCTTTAACTCATGATTTTGTGTTTAGTAACAGTGTTAACTTGAATTTCAGTTTATACCTCCAAACAGAGGGGAGAGGGTGAACAATATGACTGTTTATTTGTTTGCTTTTACAGAGATTTTCCTATACAATGTGATTAGCTCACAACCATGTTTCACTTGTCATTTAATATATATTTTATATTTTCTTAGACCCAATTTTGGTTTAATAAATCATTTTATTTTATGACTTTGAGATGGTTTAATGTGATTAATTATAGATAAGGAGAAAGCGAAGAGGGTTAAAGGGGCAGTAAAAATGAGGCCACACATAATGTTATAGTCTTTATTCATTCACACAGTTGACATATTACACAGGTAGTATCATCATTAAGAGTAGGTTAACAAACCTAGGCGCTGTTCATAAGACCAGTGAGAACAGTGTTGCTTTATCCATTATTTCTAACAATTTAAATAGTTCATTTATTTTAGTTGTAACATTAGCTTGCTATTCCAACCATTATATTACCTATTACTTTTAGCATTAGCTGTTAACTTTTTCAAACTGTTAGTTTTTACATTGGCTGAATATTTAAACTGTTGATCCATTACTTTTAAATTTAACTATACAGTTTAACTCTTTCTCTGTGCAGTACTTGATGTTATTTCAGCTGTTTATCCTTTAGTTAAAAATTTCAAGCATTTATCCATTAGCTAGAGTTATCTGTTTCAACCACCACCAACCTCAACTTGTCTGCTGAATGGCTAACTTCACAATTTCATTTGTAGCACCAGATGTTCAGCTGACTCAACGTGGGTATTTTATAAATCAAATCAAAAATCAGATTTTTAAAGTTACTTGAACTAGCTTACGCCACAGTTTTTCCACATACCCTCTGCAAAGTTAAAAACAGCTTTCTTGAATTCATCTCAAGCTCATTTTAAATCTTAAGACAACTTTCATCATAACACTTGGTTCCCTCATGGTAACTAATATTAATATCTAACTAATCTAATTAGCATATTGCGTGCTCTGTGGCTCCTCAAAAAAAACTGGAAATTTTGTAAGTGAGGCAGAATGTGCATGCATGCCTGTAATTTGTGGCAAATATATTTTTTTAATATAAGACTATGAATTATGAATTTAAGCTATTACACTATCCCCACTCACACACATAAATAATGAAACCATGAACATACAAGTGAGAAAATCCAAACAAGTTTATTTACAAACACAATACCAGTATAAAGAATGATCCAGAGTCAGTAAAGAAGCACTGTGTTTTATATAATACCTCCATTCAGAACACAGACCAGTTCCTTCCTTTTCCATTCCTGATAAAGTTGTGTCTGTACAACAATTTAGTGGTCAAGCCAAATATTTTTGGTGTTTATATTTGGTGAACTCATATCTTTTGTGCACAAACACACAAAGAGTCTATATAAACAGTGAAAGAAACGGCATGTTTGAATCTTATTAGCAATGTTGTTCTTGAAATACAAAGGAAAAACAAATGACGAATGCACAGCCAAGCATGGACAGATGAGTGACGAAAAATTAATTTACAGTCTTTTACAACCTTTTGCGATGTACAACTACAAATAAACAGTGAGAACGCACACAGCTTTCCAGTGCTTTAATTCACGATGCTTTCTTGAGTGCAAACTAAATATTCACAGATCAAAAGGGAAGGGAAAATAATACATTGTTCATAAAAGTATTGTAGCGCTTTACAAAAGGGCAGCAACCATCTTCATTCTTGCATCTTTAATCAATGAGCACTGCATTCACTATTATACAGTTCACTTCTACGAATCCATTCATCATTCTGTGATAAGGTTCGTGTATATATCTCCAAAAGCACTGAGTTTCAGTAGAGGCTTAAGTGTAAACATATTTTAGTGATCATTGAAGCAGGCACACATAAAGCCAAGTACAGAGTAAAGTCATGCAGAGCATTACATGATTATGAATGGCGTTTACAAGAATAAGACTTCACTAATTCCAGTAGAATAGAAGCTGAGAACTGCACATGAACGTCTGTACCTTATAGAGTCTTAAACGTCTTTGATTCGAGTGATCAATCTAAGATTTAGTTTGATGTTAATGTGTTTGAAGATACACAAAACACATGGGTGCACTGCATATCATATAGAAGGGTTTGATATCTCGTAAGGCAGCATGGCTTAAGACATGAATGATGGCGAGAGGCTGGGTTGCTCAACAGTGCTCTGTTGCTTTACAAATTGGATGGCCTTGAAAGGTGTGCTGAGGTGGTGTCATTGCAAAATATTTATCCGTGACGAGCCAAAAAAGAAAAGGGAAAAAAAACATCCTCACTTCTTCTCATACACCTTTTTTTTTTTTTACCAGGAAATTTTAAATGGGAGAAAGTAGGCCACCGAAAACAGGCCATTTTAATAGTGTTTTAAAATATTCACCCAGCGAATCTGGTGAATAGGAAATAGTTTACAAAAGTAGACAACTGGATGTTACAATTTTATCCTTTTTTCATTTTTTTTTTTTAATATTAGCTTAATATCAAGGTTCAGACTTTGTTTTACACAAACATTAAAAGCTGCCACACCCACAGAGTGTCCAAGAGAAAGAGAGAAGAAGAGAGGGGGGAATGAGGGGGCACCAAGACACCCACTGCGGCCTCGTTTCAGCATAAATACCTGTGCAACGTTGAGTAGAAAACAACACCTCTGTACTGCAGAGCCACTAGAAAACTTCACAGAAACAACATCACTATGAAGACCACTTTTCACATTAAAAACAAGCATCCTATGGTCAGAGTCAAAGATAACCATAGTGATTTGATTGGCTAAATAAACAACTTAAAGTACGCATCAAAAAGTGTGTTGGCAATTAAAGCAAGCAACCTTCAACAAGTAGTTGAAGAAGTGTACACTCCGAAGGCCAACTCTCTTTTTAAACGGAGGAAATAGTGAACTGTGTCATTCACTGAAATGAAAGACGACAGGTAAACCTGCTTTAAAATAAACAGTAAAAGTAAAATGTTGAGCTTCCACATTAAAGCAGAGGAGTGAGGGATCATGTGCATTGCCCCGTGTGTACGTTGATGATCCCGCGAGTATGCATGTGAATGAAGTTGAAAATTTCATGGGGCATTGCGTGGAAGCCCGGCCGTGGCTTGACGTTGTCGTAGTAATGGTGAGTGATGAAGATGCCAGAGGGGTTCATGGGAAATGCCCAGAAACCGTAGAGGTGGACCTCCTCGCACATCTCTAAGGCAGCGGTCACGAGCATCAGGCCGCTGCTGAGACGTTTGGCCCGGACGCCCTGAACAGCCCAGAAACGCTGCACGTTGAGCAGATACTGTGGGTGGAAGAAGAACACGCCTCTCTGGGAGTCAAAGTCATCCAGCATGTACTTGACTCTGAAGGATACATCGGTGTTGCGGGTGTTGTAGAAAGCTGGAAGCACCACTGAGGAGTTCTCGTAATTCTGGAGGACTTCATAAAACGGCCGCCGCCATTTCTCCAGCTTCTGAAATCTGCAGAGGAGGTGAAACATGAGATGACAAAAACCAAAAGAGTGGAAGACTAGAGCCAGACACAGACAGAGAGAGAGAGCTGTTTCTCACTCTGACTGATATTTACAGTACCTCTCAGTAATAATACTTGGATTTATTGTCACCAGATCTGTTTTAGTGCCAACATCAGCTGAGTACTTCTCATTAATAGGTGGTATGTTGCACCTGCAAAAAAAAAGAAGAAAACTTAAGCCCACTGACAAAGGAGTTCAAGTGTATTTCATTTGACTCAACACATTTTAAATTAAGCATGATGGTGAGACATAATGTTGGTCTGCACAAGTAATCATATAACAGATGTGATTGACTCATGCGGTCCTCTTTCTGCAGTAAAATGCTGCCTAAACAGAGATAAGAGCATTTTAACTATACTGGCAAAAGTTCAAGTGTAATGTTTCATGATATCCTATGTAGCCACAAGGCTTCTTATGTTATTGCATAATTGCAAGTCCAAGTGCTATTCATTCATACTGATAATTATAGATGCATTTTTTCCAATGTGAATGTGCGCACCCAAAAATGAATGTACAATCATTATAAATAATCACATTGTTAATAGTGAGCAAAAATAATTGTGATTATCATTGTGCAGTCCTCACATAATGAACACTGAAGGATAATGTCTTGTATACCTAAACACAAAATCTGCTGAGTCAATTTCCTTTCCACATTTGCTGTTCTTGATGATGCCGCCATTTCCAATAACAGCACATTTCTTGTACTGTGATTTGGAATACGGCATATCCTGGATGAAACAGACAGGTTTTTTATTAATGTCAGACAGGAGGGCGATCGAAATCAAACAGATTGTACCACCAGGTTACCAGGTACAACAAAAAAGGCAATTTTCAGGAACACTCCTAAAAGCCTATATGTGAATATGCATCAAGCAGTATATGAACTCACATCAGGGAACATCTTGAAGACCTCGGTGGTGATTGGAAGAATACCACTAGTGTCCACCTCATACCTCAGCTTGGTCCCTGCAGGAGTGTTCCTCTTGGTGGTGAACAAAAAGGAAGGAGCATTACAGCAGCGAGATAGAGACATCCTTCAGGAAGACGCCAAAGAAAAGTAAGAATTAGTGTAATCGTAGAAAACTGCACGTCAGCATCAAGACCAAAATAGGCTTGTGTTGACACTGGCTTTATCTCCTCAATGGGCTTACGCAGACCAACATCTGTATGTGTAATAATAATAGCAATTGCGAAAGCAGCCATTTGGGAAGGTTAGTATATAGAGATTATGAAAATCAATTGTATTTAACCATGTTTTACAGCTCGAATCTCTGAGAGCCCAAACAGAACAGAACACACACAAAAAGAGATATGTGTTGTAGATTTAAGGATTTCAGGACCCAAATGCAGCTAGACTCAGAGGCTGGGCTGGTCCAGTTGGAAGATTTATTCAACAAAGAAAAACTCAAATGTCTTGGGTGATGGAGAAACAAAATCAAATCTAGGGTGGCAAAGAATCCAAAATCCATAATGTAAAAATGTGCAGGGACCAAGGTGAAAAAAGACAGAGGCACGAGGAATCATGGAGGAAACTGAACCGACAAACTGACAAAGAATAACAGGAACACAGAGAATGAATATTGACATTAACATATACAGTTCCTCTGCTGAGGCTGAGCAATGCTTACTTAAAGTTGCTGGCCTCCTCCTTGTTCTGCTCCCACCTACACACCTGCAGGTTTCGCCATCTCTCAAACAGGTCTGAGGTTTTCACCCTGGCAGACAGGCAGAGAGACTTGTGGAATGAGGAAGGATACCCATGTCCATGTTTTTTCCGATTAACCATGTTTCTACAAGGGTAGTAAATTGAAGAAACATCATAAAAACCACTCAAAAAGACAAACAAGGGGACAGAAAATTGCAGTGAGTACTATGTGATGGCACCACTGATGTCACCGGATCTAGACTCGATACAAAGACAGCGGCTTTATCGAGCATGTCTGTAAATAGCTGCCCTTGAACTGACATTCCTCTTGAGATGATTGGGAGATGTGTGTTGCTCTGGGAGGCAGAGTGGCACCGTTACTTTGACTGGCTGGCAGAGTGACAGCAGCTGTTCCCTGCTACAGCCAGAGTGGCTCACATCCGTTCATCAAGCGCCCAGAATGCATTTGACAAAAAACTCTTTGACACGCCTAAAAGGTCACTGGACAATGTTCACATTCATACAACAGGAAAGATGCCGTTCAGATTCCCGTTAGCATTACTGGCCATTTGAGCAGTGTGTTGAATCTGGCTCGATAATCTACTGCATGATGTAAAAATATGTTAATTATAGTGTGGTACAGTTAAGTCTGACAGTAAAAGACGACTTTCAGCTGTAAAATGTTGATGATGAAATGGGGCATTTGCAAGATTTAAGCGTTGTTTTCTCGTTCAGTCTTACTGGAGTGTGAGGACCTGTAAGTTGTTTTGGTGTTTATTAGATAATCATAGGCACCTGATCACTTAATATTATCAAAAATAAAGTTAATTGAAAGTTGTCAAATCAGACTTCTCCATACATGGTCACAATATCAATTAAGATGAATCTCTATCCAATTTAACACAATAGCTCTTCATCTTTAAGGTCATGTGTGCACCAGAAGATACCTTATTAAAGGTAAGGCCGGACAAACAGACTCTAGAAATAAAACACAATAAACTATGATCAGTTATTACCATACCTCAACTGGAAACTAGTACTTATGTGTGTGAAAGAACACCACTTTGGTCCAGACTGAAATAACTTGACATTCATGGTCCCCAGAGGATGAATCCTAATGACTCTCCTGACTTTTTCTCTTCTGCCATTAGGTTCACATTTGTGTGAAACAGCACAACCACTGTTGGACGGATTTCCATGCAATTTAGTATAAACATTCATGTCCCCCTCAGGATGAATTTGAATAACTCTGGTGATCCCCTGACTTATTGTACTATCGTCAGGTCAATTTCTTTTTATATGTTCAATATGTTTTTTATTTTTACAAAATACCTAAAACTAACGACCTTCCAGTTAGCCTCAGCTGCACTTTGTGTTTAGTGATAATTAGCCAATATTAGCATGCGTAAAGGCTTTTAAAGTTCTTTTAATGGTCCCGTAGATAATATTTTTGGTTTCTATTTGGGATTAATTTGACACTCAATATTTGTTTCTTCAAACCTGCAGGGTATTCATTTCATTTGGGAACAGAGGTATATGCATATATAAATCAGATGGTGAATTCTCTCTCTACCTACCTGACAGGTGCTTGAGGATCACCAATAGAGGAAAAAATCTCATTCTAAATAAGGCTCTCCACGTGTTGGCTGTGTCATAAATGAACACTCACATTGTCAGGACTTTGATGTCCATAATCTCCTGTCTGAGCTCCCTGCATGCAGTGGAGTTGTAGTCAAAGGAGCCATCATAATTGTCCAGATACCTGGCGGGATAGACACAGTCATCCTCTGCCTAAACCTCTCCTCACACACAAGAGAATCAACAGAATTAACAAACTGTGGAGATAAGATGCAATATAAATAAAACTGTGTTAAAGGACACAATTAAGCAAAGCATTTTATATTTACTAGGAAATGGAAATCTATCATTTATACTGTATACAATAGTAAAATATCAGAATAGCATTGTGGGATGACAAATGACAGAAGTGATGCAACTGATTTTAGGTGTCACAAACAGGATATTAAAATACTTTTTACTCGACACTTGCACCAGATTCTGTTACATCTTAGTCTAAACCAATGTTTTACACTAAGTGAAGAAAAATAACACCTCTCATATTTTCACTTATTTAATTGGTTATGATGAGAACTTGCATGATTTAACATTGGTATTCTATGATTACTGTATATTAATTTAGAAGATAAAGAAACACATAGCTTGTTAAAATGGTGGATTAGGGCAGAGTAGCATCTGGTGGATATGAGTATGAGAGGGTCTATGTTTTCGTGTCAGGCAGTACAATAGATTTGTTATATGGCTAACTGCATAAAAGTAATCCTGTATGTTAGTCGTGCTGGCTACAGTGACATGAGGTTTTGACTCAGTGGCTGATTTCTTGATATTTTGATACATAAACACATACACAGATGCTCATGCAAACAGGTAATATTAACATAAAGGCAAGACTTGGAATTTAATCTTGTTAACTACAGTTAATGAATCAAAATAATTATTTTAGACACATATAAAACAATTGTCACATTGAAATGGCAACATTAACCCAAAGCAGACAAAATAATGTCTTCAGTGTGGTGGTGTGACTGTGTTTTGGTGAATTTGACGAAATGTTTCTGCGGAGAAAGCTGAAAGGATTCACACATTGTCAAATTTATCTCAAGGTGTCAATAAGTTGCCATTTATCTGTGCACTGATGCCTCATTTCTCACAGCACAACATTGTATTCACATGCAATCAGAATGCCGACTGGATAAAATGTGTGTGTGCGTGTGTGTGTGTCTGTGTGTGTGTGTGTGTGTCTGTGTGTGTGTGTGAGTCAGTGTTTGTGTTTTGGGATGGGGTGGGTTGGTTATGATGGAGGTTGAAAGGGTAGAAGAAGGAAACCACTGGTGTAACGATATTTGACTCGAAGGTGCAATCAGGTTAGGCAGTGGAATATTTTTAATTAGGTTGTGAAAAATTACAAAAAACAACTAATCTAATCTCTCTAATTACTAATCTCTAGCATCTGTGCTGTGCTGGAACATTTCTGGAGTAGATGCATGTGACGTTACTCGACTTGCTTACAGACTGATTCTGTTTGATCACTAGATGTTCAGAAATTTATTTTGAATGTTAAAGTGAGACTTTGTAACTTTTGAGAATAGAAATAACACATTCTTCCGCTTATATGTTGTCTAAATGACACTAACAGGTATGTTACTCCCATTTGAGCATGCCGCAGATAAAGATGACGATGTTTTTAAGGCAGTTGATTAAACAGAATCTTAGGAAATCAAAGTAAATTCAATGGACCGTTATGTTGTGATTACTCATTGTGGCCACAGTGTGCACTGTTCAACAAAAGTTACATAGTCACGCTCCAGTCATGTGCTGATCCAGTTTAAATTCTGTATCTTTTGCTTAATGGATTTTACAAACCAAAAGATTTTTGATTTTGTCTTTTTGTCTTCTGAATTTATTGTTTTCCATATTTCATTAAAACCAAGTGCTGCAGTGTCAAAAGACACAGCAGAAAACAAACCTTTTGAGAAATATTTCAAATCTGAGGCTGGGAACTCAAAAGCATAAAGTGGAGGAATCTGCATTTTGGCTGCATCTTCATATTATTATGTTTACTACATTAGTGCAGTTTACTGTTTTTGTGTTTGAATAATGACCAAAATAACTGTTCAGTACATACCTAGAAAGAAGTTGAAATGTTTCTGACTTGCATGCAAATTCAACCTTGTGACACAGACATGAGGGAATAAATATGCACTAAATTGTGAGAAAGATGCATCAGATCTTTACATTAGACAAATGATTTCTCCTTTTAGCCCTGATCTATAATTTAGCTTTTATGTTTGGGCAGAGGTCCAAAAACTGTCATCTCTCTTTGGCTGTATTTAAATAAACTTGAAGAAGAAATTGATCGATTCAGCAACTTTTGATGGACAATGCCCTATCGTTGGGAGCTTAGCTGCTGTACAGGAATTTTACTTTTATTAAAATCAGTATTATCTACAGCAGTCGTAATTACAAAATATACTTCTACGGTATAATCTTGGAAAGCTCTAAATGTATATATTTTTAAATTTACATATATATTGCTTGTGGGGAGGCGAGGGTATTTAACGCCAAAATGGCAGCAATTGCGGGTGTATTTATCGGAATGAATGTTGGTATTTGTCAGACAAGTTTAAGTGGAGTGTGGTGTTCTGAAAGATGGATAAAATCACAACATATTACCTGTGGCTGTGGAGGTCAATGAGGTGAGTTAAAAATAATAATAATAATAATAATAAATTATAAAAGAACACAACGAGCAGTACAATGGAGCAATGCGTTAAAGGAACAAGACGCTGGGATGAAATCGTACAAATAAGGAACGATGAAACTGGTTGTCTACATCCACCTGATGATGCAGTATATTTCTGAGGTTTTACTGAGAGGAGCATCTGTCTTAGGTAATATATTTGACACTTTAAATAGGGCTGTTCGTGCTTGTTTTAGCTAAGATGATGAAACCTTTGCAAGTGTTCTGTGTTTACTTCTAAAAGCAATACAGTAATTCGCTTGATGAGATGAATTTCATCTCTTTATCTTATGGCATCCTAGGTTAATCATATAATGCTGGTTCAAAACCAATCAAGGATGAGACTAGCCAGCATTTTACCATAGATATTGAAATCTACTGCTCAGTGCAATGAGGATTTGGATCTTTAGGAAAAAGAAATCTGGCATGTTCCTGTCTTCTTGTAACAAGGAAAGTAAAGTGGGGGATAAATCCAGGTCGCAGAGAGAGACAATGCAGATGTGAGAAGGGGAGATAGGGGGAGCAGAGAGAAGTGTCCACACTATGTACATGGCATACACACAGAGTTGTGCAGAACACATGAGACACAGGTTGAGGAGGACAAGGCATTTGGAAATGGGTGCTGGATGGGACACAGAGGTACGAGGAGAAGCCAGTACATCAACAGGAGACCGTGGTTCAACCAGCTTCTGGAGGGGGGTGGGGTGGGGGGGTGGGGGGGGTGGTTTAGGGATCTGGGGTCGAGGTGGACAGGATCAGACAACATGCAAGAGCAAATCTGAAGTGCAACCACCACTGAAAAAATATGAGAGTTTATACCCTTGAGACTAATGAAAAAGAAAGAGGCATTCTTGGGTTTCTGTGAAAATACTAAAAATGCCTTCAAACTGGCCTACCTTTGAGAGCGTTTTTTTTTCTTCTTAATATCGGCTAGGCAGGGTGTGACTATTACGGAGAGCTGTGAATCTGGCTGAAAATTCTGACGGAAACATCTGTCAACATGCAGACAGGTTAAGTTAGAGTTAAATGTGTGATGTAGTCCTGCGACATCACCACCCCTGCTAACTTCCTAAACCTGCAGGTTTCAAAACAAGTACAGAAAAAAGAGTGTAAATGTGCTGCGGCTTTTTTTTTCTACAGCATCTGAGGAGACTGGTGGGCGTAACAGCATCCCAGTCCACACATGCAGGGCTGGGTCACCAATATGATGAATTTGAAACTTGTGTTTTCTTTCATTCTATCTGTCTGTCTCTCACACTCTCTTTTCTCAGAGGTGTTGTGCAGTCAGTCACGCTGGAAAGGTACCTTTTCCTTCCATTTCTGGCAGGCTTCAGAGATCCGTCATCCGAGAAATTAACGGGACCGGTCCAATTTCCTGTCTCGTCCCCTTTGAGTCGGCTAAACTGTTGCGCACTAGTAAGAAAATGAGTCAGTTTATTTGGGATTTATTGTGCTTATTGTGCAAATGTCAAACACATACAACCAAGCCCATGTGTTCATTCACAGAACTCAGAATTGCACATTCATGCACACACATACACATATACATCAAAGGGGGAGCAGCTTTTTGGCTCAAGAAAAACAGTCAGAATGTGACATCAGACATGGTTAGAATGGATTTTCAGTTAATGACACTATGGTTTGAATGGTTAATTTATGCTCTGCTGGGCTGTTGCCACTCTTCTGAGTGTGATTCAAACATTTACACTCTGCAATATTGGCGTGCAGGAGTGTTAGACTTGTAATTCAATATATTAAAGTCACAGTGATTTAAGAGAGGAACAATAATTGCAGCCAATGTTTCTGCAAATGTCAAATCACTTCTGAGGAAGAGATGCCAACAGATTTGCCAAGTGTAGATACTATAAAATAGCCAATTTAGACCATCTCTTCAGCCAAATATTACTGATAAGAGAGATTTATACGTGTTAAGTGTTATTCAGCCTGTGAAAACAGTTAGTTTATATCATCTCTGGCTCTGGCGGAGCTTTGTCAAGTCTAAGAAATTAACCAAGATGAAGGAATTCAGTGTTATCTCAACTTGGACCTGGACTTGGAGTCTAAAAACGTTAAAAAAGCCTGTGCCTTGACAAAAAAAGATGATCCAGTGGAGTTCTGCATCAATTTTTGCTGTAACCATCAAAGTCAGAGGAGGCCATTTGGTGCCAGTGGTTGTCACATCTTTGCGAGGAAAGCAACTAAATCCAAAGATATGAGGGGCATTGGTTCAGAGTACTTTTTGGGGTTTAGTCTCCTCAATAGAGAACAAGGGGAAACTGTTATCAAGCCCTTAAATATATATAATTTGAGTTGAATGACGCAATATTCTATATTTTTGTGACTGTCAACAAATCCCTTGAAAAGACCAAAACCAACAATGCTTATAACCATCTCTCAATAATTCCAATCTTTAAAGGACCTATTGTAAGTTTTGCTATTGGTACATAGCCAACATTAGCATGAACAGCTGTTTACTTACCAGTCTTTCCATAAGCTGTCGTGTTCTTTCAACCATCAGTGTATACAAAACAAGAGGTTATAATTCACTCTCTGAGCAGCGCTACTTCTTGGATGCTACAGTGACTCGACATCGGAAAATGACAAGACAGGCCAACAGTGCCGTGGCTAGCTGGTTAGCATGTGATAGAGTTAGACGCAAAACAAGAGGGTTACTTTCCACCGCTGGAGACAGCTCTTGGCGAGTAAAGGAATTACGTTTGATCATGAACTTGCAATGTTTCTTGTAGACTAGTAAGTAAAAATCAGTTAATGCTAATGTTGGCTATGTAGCATTAGCAAAACTTACAAATAGCGCCTTTATAAACAGGTCACAAATACAGTTTCATGAATACAGTTTCATTTTTAAAAAAGGGCCCAGTCATTTCATAAAGCAGCTGGGCACTGTAGTCTTTAACGAATGTTACTCAAACAGGAGTAAACTGTCTATTTGTTGGAAGTTATTTTCAGCTACAGACTAGTTAGCTAGTATTTACTGCAGCAGGACAGTGTATGTGGGTTTTGACTCAAAATAAACTACAGTTCCCATGTTCATTATTATGAAGGCACATGCAACCCAGTGCAGCAGTGTGGATCATTGATATCCTTAATAGTTTTTGGACAAATATTGAGGTTAATTGCACAGAGGAAGCTATAGGTTATCAGGGTATAAATTCATTCAGTTATTGATTATGGTCTTTTATTGAGATTTGTAAGAATAAGAATAAGAAAAATATAGAGCATCACCAGATTGATCCTTTAGAATTTAATAAATTAGCATATTAAAGGATTTGTGAACAGACTAATTACATTCCATACATCCGCATATCTGTGGGTGTGCAACTTCTATTATCTGACTGATTATTATGCAAGTATTCATGTGTGACTCATTTCTGTGAGTGCTCTGTGGGTGTTTCATCGGGGGAGATTGAACCCTAAAAGCCTTTCTGGGTGCATTATGTGATCGAGCATTCATCACAGAGTACTCATGTCAATACTGATGTGCAGGCACATTTGGCTTCTCCGAGTGCCACTTCAACATCTCAATAACACATTGCAACTGGCTGCAGAACAGAACACTCTAAAAATCAGAGAGATGTTTGTGCCTCGCTTTAGGACAAGTGCCTGAAATAGGACAGCTGTCTTTTACACTGAACAGCTAATCACAGCAGCATAATCTAGCCTGTATTTATCTAACATAGATCTTAATCGCCACAAAAATGCTGCTGAGGCTTGATTTTTATCTAAAATGCAGTGGGTTGATCAACAGCACATAAAGGTTATACAGTACTGATATTTTCCAATATTGTGACCACCAATTAAACTGAAATCAATCTCATGTTACTTCATCTGACTCGCAGATCAATTTAATGTCTTGGATGGGCTTCTTCAAATGCGAAGAGACCATTTATCTCCCATTGACTCAATTATGAGGACAACTCAGACAGTAATCTAAGCATTAGATTGGGCAAACAACAGGCACAAAGTTGTTCTGAAGCACTAATGAGCTTTGATTCTGCCCTTGAGCATTGTTAATGGGACTTGAAAGCAGTAAGGAGTTTTGTAATATTGGATTCCTTGACTTGGGTTTTTAGGGTAGGCCAGGAACATTGATCTAGATGACCATTTAGTACTGTATGTCCAGAGGTATTTCCTGTAATAGTTAAGGGCTTTGTAAGTTTGATAGGTACTTCATTGTCCTTCATTGTCCTACTTCAAAACAGGAAATTAGTAGATGTGATCTCCTCTCGATCTCTTTCTTGTTTCCTTTTTCAATTAGTTTTTAACAAGGAATCACTTCTGTAAATAGTCGAAGCGATGTGACTCATAAATTATGAACAATATGCCGTTATGTACTAGAATCAAGATATTCGCATTAGAAAAAAAAAAAAACACACACAGAAAGCTGCTCAGACACAGCTCACTTACATAAGGCACCAATAAAGGCTCATTTCTTAAATGGAATCTGGTTAACCAATTAGTGCTGAAATTAGATTTCTTGATTGGCAGAATTTCCAAGAATTCTGATTGAATTAAACAATCATTTACATCATTTATTAAGCAGAAATGGCAAATATTTGCTGGTCCCAGCTTCTCAGATGTGAGGACTTTACTTGCTCTATATCATTGTAAACTGAATTTAGATTTTGGTTTGGACTATGAGTCAGACAAAACGAGGACATTTGTAGATGTCAGTATGTCCTCTGGGAATTTTGTGACATTTTAAGTAATTTTGTGACATTTTAAGTAATTTTGTGACATTTTATAGATTGTCATAATCGAAATAATGAATTGGTAATGAAGAAAATTATCAGTTGCAACCACATGTACTCAACTGCAAAGCCACTACTTTCTGGATGATTACTAACCAGCCCCCTCCAACATGGAGCCTTTGGTATTCCTCTCTCTAGCTGAGAATATTTTTAGATATCACTCTGTTCAAGTCAAATAGAGTTGAAAGTTAATATGTCTGCCATCACGGAAGTGTGTCACTCATTGTGATCCTTTAATAAGCTCCCTCCGTGTTCTTGCACTGCCATTTTACTGTCCTACATTCTCCACAACTTCGTCTTGATGTCATTGAAGACAGGCAAGGGAGCGAGCTGATTCATGTAAGACCATATTGCGACTCCACAGAAACTCAGTGGCCAGATTTATGGTCATATTTTTTTAATTTGCACTTCATTGGGCACCCGCATACATTTAGAGGAGAACCCTTTGCCCCTTGGTCATTATGATTTATTATATAGCTAAACACCCTAAGATTCCTCTCTCAATCTAAGCACCCAAATGTCTCCTCTGCTGCAGCAGTTTTTTTTTCTGTGTTGCCCTGGAACACAAGAGCACATGATGAATGTCCTGCCAACATGTTCCCTGGGCTGGGGAAGAGGCTGGGTGTGGTCGAACCCACGTGGACAACAACCAAAGACTTCTAATTGTTTATGCCAGGAGAGATGTCATAAGATGACGTCTTCTCTCTATTCTCTCTCGCTCTGCTTCACACACACACACACACACACACACACACACACACACACACACACACACACACACACACACACATGCAAACACATTCATTTCATCACTATCTCTTGGTCTCTCACTCTCTCCGTCTCCTTCCCCTCTCTCCCCCACTTGCACTGAGGTGTGTGTGCAGACAGACTGTAGCAAAATGGCTGCCGCTGAGCCCACTGGTTTCTGTTGTGTGGCTTGTTCCCCCTCTCTCCTAGGTTTCAGCGCTAGGAGCAAAGTGAGGGCACAGGCGAGGAAAGGTGTTAAGTGTGTGTGTGTGTGTGTGTGTGTGTGTGTTGGTTCTGGATTCATACATCTCACTGAAGAGGTCAGGATGCCATGAATCCACATTGAGTATCCAGACCAGCCCAGCAGGGTGGCAGGGGAGGGGTTAGCTGTGAGGAGCTCTCAGATTGCAGCACATATATGTTTGCTTTGAAGTAAGCATATATGTGCTGTCTGTAAGATATCTGGAGGTGGGGGATAAAGTTTTCTGATTGTTTCTTTTTGGTGAGATTTTGGTGTTCTTCATAAACCACCTAAAGATCAAACATCCCGGCTTCTCAGCATCTGCTCGTCTCACACTGAAAATTTTCTCCGAATATAAAGGGAAGGGGACACAAATGGGTGTTTAAATTGTTTTAGATGAGTGCAAACCAGGATTCAGCTCAAGAACCCCTATCAGGGATTTAAATACTGTTACTATTGCAGAGGTATTATAAATCTTGGCTCTGCAGTGCCTGTGTGTGCACTGAGTGCAGCCTGGTAAAGAAAAAATGATTTATTTAACAGGGACCAATAAGAAATACACATCATCGTAACCATATTGCTATCTGTTATCATCATCAGCTCCAATGGCTTTCAGTTGCATTATGATAATCTGATGCCTCTGTAAGATGTAGGCTACGACCAGTCAAGAAGAAGGCTGAAACAGAAAATCAAATAAAGATCTTTGGAAAAAGAAAGGGATAACATTACCATACACAGCTGGGGCACTGTGTATGGTATGAATGTGATGCTTCATTTTCAGAAAATATCAAAAAAATAAATCCAATGGAAATTGTTTCTATGCCACTGGGAAAAAAGATGGATGGTTAATTGCTATTGTTCTTTTCAGCCATTAAAGCTTGTTTTCCCCATGTAGTTCCCAACATGTAGCCTAGTTCATCTGGACTACTCCCATTTATACCGAGCAGTTTATCAATTTATCATTCATTATTTATCTTTCACCATTCAGTCATTAATTGGGATCGAAACTGAGCAATTAACCTCACACAAAACGACTATGAAGGCATGCGTTTTAAATCTGAATATTATCATTACAGTGTGGACAACTCTTACAAACAGCAGGGCCTGCGCTTTAATTGCCTATTGTTAATGGCGACTGAACAGAAATAATCAACACTTACCTCTTAATGTAGTTCTTCCCATATAGAATCTGTTGCAATAGTGTGACAAGTCCAAATGCGCAAATAAATATGAAACAAAGAGATCGATTGCCGAGTATATCTTTACCCGACGATGGGTCGGAGTATCCCATTCTTCGGCGCAGCATCCGGCGCAGACGGTGACACCAGGTTAGGTGTCTCTCTCCGCTGCATTCAGGACCAGGAGCGCAGCTGTCTTGTGCCCGCTGGACTGGACATTGTCCATCACCTCACTGAGCTATTTCACTGCTCTCACGCCATCGCATCATTGCTATTGGATGATAAGCATCGCAATGTATCGCCAGCTGTGATCTCAATTAGTACAAACCATGAATAGCCCTTTATCCAATTCTGCCACAATTAATCCTATATATGCTAAATATTTTTGTAAACGGACGTGTGGAAAAACATGAAATGTCCCGAGGGAAACTCTTAATTTTATCGGATATCGTGCGCTACTCGTCTCGACGAGGTGCGGCAGAAAGCAATCCAGATCATCCAAAAATAACGCGCTCAAATGGCTGTTTGTCCAGGATACATCCCGAAATGTTTACGCAGACAACGAAATGGCATCGATGCCAAGCACGCTCTTTTTTTAAATTCTTTAAATTACTGATGCGAGCTGCGACCGGGAAAAAAACATGCCCCTCGCTTCATCTCAAATCTGAGCAAAGCTGCGTGACTGAAATGTAAAAGGAGGAGGATGCGCCTTTTCTCAGCCTGGCAGCCGGGGGCGCGCCGCGTTTCATTCAGATGATCAGCCAAAACCCAAGGTCATGGTCTCCTTCACCTGCGCACTCACCATATCTTCAACAGCACAGTTCACCTGTAAAAAACATAGTCTGTCACTAAAATGTAAAGATTATCAAATTAAAAGCCATCCTAATTTCTTCATACCTGATATGATTGCAACACTAACGCACATGAGTATTTCTTGCAATGTTATCTCTGTCTGTTTTATGTCCAAGCGTTCATGTCAAATGTAGGCTACCTATTTTCTGCTCAGCAGTTTCAGCGTGAAACAGTGAAATTTTCAAACCTTCACAGCAACATTGTGGGAAACCAAACCCTGATACATGACTGCAGCCCCTTCTCAGAGCTTAACCTACTGCCAGTGTCCACTTTGACAGCCGTTTGATCATATCATCAAGGCCTTTGTAATACAGTCTGGGCTGCTTTAGCAGCATGCGTTAACACTGCCACAAGCAGCAAAGTCAGAGGTGGATGTGACAGAAGAAGTACCTGACTGACCCCTTCACATGGCTGCTCAGAGATGGACTGTCCTTCAGATCAAGGATGCTTTATTGTTCGAGTCCTCAGACTAGTCCTCTGTGTTTGCTGATATCAATTGGTCAGCATCTGTGAGAGGTCTCCTTAATTTCAGTTATTGCAACAGACAGTGTCACTAGTGTTTTACAACCAGATCATTAATCATCAAATTAGGAGTAAAATAAATGTCTTCTTTCTTGACCCATATATGATCATGTCAGACTCTCTTGAAACATGTATATCTGACCTGACCTGAATCAGTGAACACCTTTGCAAATCTGTTGACCTCACCACTAAAGATTTTACCAGGATTTCACTGATATGTACAATATTGTGCAAAGGATACACATCTTTGTTATTTCAAAGTAATCCGCAATCTATTCTCCATATCAGTCTATTTTCCTCCATTTAGTCTGTTGGGTCCAGGTTGTATTGCAGGCTGAGCAAAGTAGCCTAGATATCCTCCTCTCGAGCCATGCATGGCTCTTGGGAGCTGAGTCGCTCCCAGGCCAGATGGGATATGTTGTTCCGCCAGCATGTTCTGGGTCTTTCCTAGGACTGTTCCCAATTGGACATGCACAGATTGTCTCCAAATGGAAGCATGTAACTTTGATGACTCCTTTTCACGGAAAGGAGCAGCAGTTCTACTACCAAGTTTCTGATTTGAGCTCCCTCAAGACCAGTCCCAACCTGGTCAGATGCGTACATGAACTGATGAAGCCTCTTGGATGAGAGGTGAAACGTCTTCCCAGAAAAATAATCAAGTCCAGTTGTTTTTTCGATTTAAACTCCTTTAGGCTCCCTCAGGACCACACACCCTGCAAAGGAAGCTAATTTGCACCTTGTGGCTGCAGTGTTATTCTCTCTATCGCTACACAGAGTGTGTCATTATGGGCTTGGAAGACAGATCCATGGCTGGATTAACCTGGTAGTCACAGAAGTGAAAAGCAAGCTGTTGGACTTCCTGTGTTCTGCTCACTGTGCATATATCCTGTCAAGTGTCAACAAGTACACTTGTGCACACATACTACACAGGACAGCATTGTTTGGCCCAAAAGCCCCATGATATAAGCACAATGCCACCAGCAAAAGTCTAGATTTTGACACACAGATCCATCACAAAGACAGGGCCCCAAAATTAATAAGACCTGTTTAAGGTGACTATCAACAAGATTTTTGGTTTCCCACACCATTTTACACTCAAATGTCAATCGAACTTCAGTTGGGCCAGTAACTTGCTCCTAAAATGATTGGGGCAGTCCACCAGCACCATGCCCTGGCCCTCATCCCAACAGCTTTTCTCTCAGCTGCAAACACCTTTTTAAAAATATATTTAAGATGGATTGTAAATCTATAATTATGTTCAACATTTCAATTAACATTTTATATTTTTCATGTAATGTGTGGTCATAATAAAAATAGGCTAGATAAAACACTTTCTGTGCAAATGAAGGTGAACTTTTAAAAACGTCAAATGGGCCTACATACAGGCATTCGCAGGGGAATCAAATTAAAGAGGGTCACATTTCTGTGTTACACCGGAAGCCGCACGGATGTAATTTGATGCAGCGCCAGCCCCTCTTCCGGCCTCTTTTCCCTTAGCCACCGGACGAAAATGGTAAGATGCAACGCTGTCAGACAGAAATCTGCAAACATCTGTTAAATGTGGCGTATATCTAACGTGAACTAAGGGTGTTTCGTTGTCGGATTAACATTGTTACCGTTCGGGTGAAGTATTTTTGTGCTGAAGCTTAATTTTAATAAAAATTAACGTTGATTCTGTTGCTTCCGTTCAGCGGTTATTTGCTGAGGTTAGCACTGAGGCTCAGTGTACAGATATGGTTTAATTCACCCGGGAGACAACCGGATAACGTTAATACTAGTTTAAACAGTTTTTGTTGTAGCTGTTAATTGTCTAAAGTTGAATTTGAGTGGTTCGCTTTGTAGTAGTTTGGAAGTAGTCTGCTATAAAATGGCTAATTAGCTTCTCCATAGCGGCAAGCATACCCGGCTAGTTACTTCATGTGTCTCCTATAAGTCAGTGTGGACACAGGGAACTCTTTTTAAAATTTATTTGCAACTATATCCCCCATCACCAATTACAAGTACCCTCAATTACTATTAATCCACACCGTTTATGCTCACATACACACATTACAAATACTAATACATAGGCCTACAACATGGTAAGATAAACACAGACAGGTTATGAGAAATATGTCCACATGTCGTGGTCAGTGCTAATACAATGATAAAGGCTGAACAGGACAAACTTAATTCTTTCTGAAATATCTTTTCTGTGTCCAGTACCAGATCTGCTATCCAGTCATTCATTGCTCAGTATGACAGTATGCTAGATTGAACTGCATTCCCGCTACTTGTCTGGTTTAAAATGTGTGCATCACTAAAAGTTAAGATACAGCCATTTGGCATTATATTCCCAGTTAAAAATTGTAACGAATAAAGTAATCTTCTCACCAAGAAACTTAAATGTATGGCAACAATGTTTGGTTTTATTCCAGTTTCAAACCTGGCAAAGAACCTGCTGTTGTGTACAACTTGTACTTTTCTTTAAATTACATACAGAAGTCCTCAGCCATATTGCTGGATAGTCTTACTGTGGTGGCCATGAACTGAAATTCAATTCAACAGTTTTGTTAAAACTGAGGCAGTGGTATTCAGTATTGTATTCCTCACATCCAGCATCAAGTGGTTATTGGTGCCACCTGAGCCCGAGTCTTGTCAGTGATGTCTTCAAACACAAATGTCTGAACAAATGACTTTCTGTGATTCATTCTTCCTAACTGAGACAAGACCATCAGAGCTTTAACTTGTACTGAAGTTTTTTTTTTTTTAAGGGAATTGTTCCTGAGCTGTAGTGTCTTTATCTTTATTCAGACGAAGGGGACATCATCTTTCGGTAAACGCCGGAACAAGACGCACACCCTGTGCCGTCGCTGTGGGTCCAAGGCCTATCACCTGCAGAAGTCCACCTGCGGCAAGTGTGGCTACCCTGAGAAGCGCAAGAGAAAGTGTAAGTCACTTACTGATGTCTTTTGATAAGGCACTGTCTTTTCAATGAAAACATTGCATGCGATTGTGTTGAATGTAAAATTGGAACGTAAACATGCATGAGAATTGCTTGGTTTAGCTACAATTTTTGTTAAATCATGCATAAACATGTTGAGATAGCAGGGCATTTGCAGGTCTTAAAGTTTAAGGAAAAAAATCAGGCATTACTAGGTATTAAAAAATATTTGATTTACAATAGTCTATTCTCTTACTCTCTGTTGTTAGTAATGACAGTTGGATGGGTGTATAAGAAATTACTTAATCCATCCATTCATTGTCCATTATGTTGCTTCAGATTAGGAATTGTTAAATACCTTGGGCAGTATGACCATGAGATGTATTAATCCAGCTCTGCAGTGATGTGAATAGCCAGGCGGCCTTGATGCATACAGGTGTTTTTGTTTTTTAGACAACTGGAGCGCTAAGGCCAAGAGGAGGAACACCACTGGGACTGGCCGTCTGAGACACCTGAAGGTTGTCTACCGCAGATTCAGGTATGATGTTTTGATGTAATAGGCTCCGCTAAATTATCTGTGCGGCCAGTTCAGTGCTAATGCGGCTATAAAAACCAGCTTGCCTTCTGTACTTCAGTTCAGGGTTAGTGTACTCTGCCAGAAAGGCTGTTTTTATTGCCTTGGCATCAGTAATACAAATAGTGAAATGTCATCTTGATGCAAATACTTTGAATTACCAACTTGTTGAACTCATTCAAAGGCCACAGTGAAAACTTGTTTGCTTGAAAACACTCCTATAAATGTTAAGACATGATAAACACTAGTAAAACCTGATTTGTAGGAAATTGTTTTGATGTATCAATTGGATCTACAAACATTGGATCTGTTTAGTTTTGTTAACATTTTCCAAGCTGTGAATACAAGCAAGATCCCTGCGTCTTACTCGAAACTAGTCATGATGTGAAATGTTAATAAGAAGTGCGGGATTGTATTACCATATGATCCTCATTGTTGTTCTTGACATTACATCATGAAAACTGTGGTTTGGTGAAAACTATCCAACAATTTTAAGCATGTGTTTACAAAAACAAGAAAAATGTCATTACTGAACTGCTGGGAGATAATAAACATGAGGCTGTACACTCAAAACTGTAGTAACATGGCCAATCCACAGTGCAAGTAGGTAGTTTTTTTATTTTTCATCATTTAGGACAAAATTTCATTAGATCACCAGAACAATCAGAAAGCAGGGTAAATAGAAAGTTAATGTCCATATTCAAAGTCCTTTAAGCCCAGCAGTGACTAAGAGTCTGGTATGTGTCATCAAAATTTCCAGGCTAACAAAAATAACCGTATTGGCAAAGAAATGCAGTTTGTGATTTTCCCAATACAATATTGTTATTCTGCTACTGACCTGTCTGACTTGTTATAAGTCACTGCTGCTTACCAATGATGGTGAAAAAAAAATGTCTGAACAAATGAACTCAAATGATATCAGAATTTTCTCTGAGGTAAGCATTGTAAGACAAGAGCAGTGACATTAAATTGGGACACGGGAATTGCCAGACTTTTTATTAAATTGTACAGGAAAAATGGTTTGTGTTAATTTGGTGTCAAGTTCAGTGGAATCAGCTCCACATGCAATAATGATAAACTGACTGTCAAAACCTAATGATGTCTCACTTTATCACTACACAGTTAAAACTTTGTTCCTATTCCAATTAATATTGTTACAGCTGTGATGAGACTTGTAAAATCTTACAGCTGTTCACATGAGTGCTGATGTAACAGCTATCACTTATTTTATAACTCTAAATAGTATAAAAACTAAATAGTCAGGGAGATGTGGCAGGTTGCAGGCACTGATTTGGCTTTTTATTTTTGGTTGGTCCAACCTGGCAACACAGGCCCAGATGGTAGCTGAAGCAGGGCTTTGAGTTCCTGTCGGCAAAATGCCTGTTTAATCTACTAAATTTTATCACTTACTTATATTGGCATTCAAATTGGAATACATATTATAGCTGTTATGCCATTGTGCAGAATGAATAAAGGTAAATGACCAGCAAATACTCACCCATATAGCAGTTCAGTTTGTTTTAAATAGGACTAAAAGTCTGGGTGTTAGTGGCCTGAAACATACAACACACGGTAGTGCTACAATGAAAAAGCCAGGTCAATCTCTACGTAATTGCACAAACAACTTTCAGGGCGGATTTTCAGACATGTTCATCGCAGGTGTAATTTGAAATGAAAATGCCTTTATTTCATTCAACAGTGATGGTTCCAAGCTGCTGACATCAGGCACGCCTGCTTTAGTGCTTAACTGGGATACTTCTGTGTCTCAACACGTCTTAACAGAAATGCCAGCATCTGTTTGTTAACAAAAAAAACAGTATTGGTCAACATCAGTGTTATTTTTGCCAAGATGCCACAGATTTACTGTTAATTCTCCTGTCCAAACTTCAGGAGAAATATTTACCTTTTAAGAATTAATCATCAGTTCTCAACAACTGTAGTAACCTTAGTCATTTACCTTGCTAGTTGGATAACCAGCTTGCAGCTGCCAGCAGCAGATGGTAGACAGTGGGATAAAGTAAAGCTTTTAGCACATTTGTTGATAAACCTGTCTAAATGTGGAATAACATACATACTTTTTCATCAGGATTAACCTTGAGATAACGCTAATTACCCAATGATTTTGCGTCAACCCTTTTTTATTTTTTTTCCACTCTCCCTTGCGTATTTTTCAGGAATGGTTTCCGGGAAGGCACCACCCCCAAACCCAGACGTGCTGCAGTGGCCGCCTCCAGCTCATCCTAAAAGACACATTTTTGGTTAAATAAATGTGATGTTAAACAAGTTTCAGTCTTGTCTCTTGATCTTTTAGCCTAATTGTCTAGCCAGTGATGGCCAAAGACGGAGGTCATGATTGGTGTCATCAACAGATTAAATATACACACGGCGTAAGACTTCATTCCCACTTGGTTCATTTGTGCAAATCTCAAGTTTCTAATGTTGTGTCAAAACTAAGAACACAAAGATGAAATAAAAGGTGTTTTCAGAAATATGAGCCTTTGTATTAATGTTGGAGGTTTTCTTACAATCACCCACCATGGAAGTCTGACCTATCATATATTTCACACTAAAAACACACCACTCAAACTTAACCTTTCTGTAGAAGAAATCTTTCAATCTTCATGAGAATGACATGTAGGAAATTTCAAGCAGTGTCTCACTGATATCTCACAAACATCAATACAAGCGCATCTAATGAAGAGTTAATTTATTTGATCATTTTACATTAAATATGCCACATATTTGGTAATTCAGTACTTTGCCTCTGGCTAATGAGGAAGCAATAACACCTTAAAGTCCTTAAGTGGTGAATACAGTTCAGAGTACAAGATTGTAAATACCAGTGTATTGTGCAAACAGTTCTTTGGAGACAGAACAGCATTTGCATCCAAGATACAGGACTCTGAAGAGGGGCCCTGCAACAGACCAGCACCCCTTCCTACCTCACTTAGTAAAAGGGCAGCTGAAAGATAAATTTCAATCTGCAGCCTTAAAGGCAGAGCAGCAGTTTCCATGTCTTCAAAACAAAACAAGTGTAAATATTTAGAAGGGGCCAAACAATACTGAAATTTCTTTGATGATGAGTGTAGGGAAGTCAGTTTACAAATGAGTTAAAAGTTCAAATTTTATGGTCGAAGCTGGGAAATGTCAGAGTAGACCACCACATTGAAGAATACCAGCATTGACAAGTGGTAGAAATGTTTAGGAGTGGGAATTTTTCAGATTAACTACATATCGAAAAAAGAGATGCTTAGCTTTATTCTCTCAGTTGCACCAATGATTCAAGGTGAAATCAGTGAGATGAGCAATAATTTCCCAGCAGTGCAGTGACCTCAAACATTTATCCAAGACTTTTGATTTCAGGCAACATTTAAAATAATTGTGCTGGTTGATGGGAAAACAAAATGTGTCATAAAACTCACTGAACTGGCAAATTATGCCCTCAAGGGGTTTCTCTGGGTCCTGGTGACGCTCTACAATGTCATCCAGTGAAACTGTTTACTTTTGTTGGATGATCGGGTGAGTCTAACATGTTTTGCAACCTCACACTGAGGTGGAGGAGTATGACTTCAATCACAGATATGCCTGCAGGGTTTCTTACAGCAGCATTTCACAACATACCTCTTGGTACCGCTTCGGGGTTTCTCCTCCGTGCTGCCAAAATACTCTCCACGTCTGTGAAGGTGATATGTTGTCTTTTACATGTTAAAGTTGCGTCACCACAGCTTCTCTGTTTATTTTCTGTACTGTTGATATGGTTGCTATGGATGTTGCTTTTATAGAAATAATATAAATCAAAATGTTTGAGTTTAAGCTTTAAGTATGTATATTTTTTGTCTGCAGTTGTAGATTTAGTGCATACTTGCACACAGGGTTTGTCATGTCTTGATATATGAAGATACTCTTTGTTTATGTTAAAGGGAAAATAATGAAATAGTAATCGGGCATCGTTTCCTTACATTGTGTGTGTGCCCACCGTAGCTTAAGTTGTTGTAGAACCGTATTATGGCAATGAAAATGTACAAATAACTTAAATAAAATTCAAAATTACACTATTTCCAAAGCAAAACTCTTAATCACCGGCAAGTATTTGTGAAAAAAAACTTTACATTACATTATTCAAGTACATAATATAACTTTCATGGGTTTCTTAAGCTCCAGGGTTTGAGTTGATGTCATCCATTACATCCATGCAGTCCTGACAGACCTCCTCTACTTTGGCCTTGTGACCTGTGCTGATGATGTTTTCCTACTCTGTAAACGGAGTGTCGTTTGTGGAGTGATACTGCTCAAGCAAACATCATTCTGGCCAAGGAAACAAGCAGAGAGTCTTGTGATGGCTCTCGCAGCCTGCATGTGATGATCTGTGAAAAGGAAGCAACGATGAAGTGGTTAAGGAAAGGCAAAGGTTTGTAGCCATGGTGACGGTCGACCCATCGTTTGGTCCACAAACATTAGCTGGACTGTAATTGTTCTGTCATGTTAAAGTGTCCCCCGTCAACCACAACAGACAGGGAGCCAGTGTCAACAAAAACAGGACTCTCAAACTGCCGCAGCCAGATGGAATTCAGCCAACATTAATTGTATAATGAATGGTATTTTGTATGATATAGACCCAGAGAAAATCGTGGAAAACCCACACTATCCTCCCCTGACCCTCCAAAAATGATACATCTTGTCAAAACTATCTAATTCCCCTGGCTTAGTGTGAGGGGAGGAAATATAAAGGCAGAAATTCAGCAGTATACAGCATTCAACCTTTTACCACTTTGTACCAGCAGGAGGCGATGAAGAGCCAGAGACCTGCACCCTAAAGACAAAGTCACCACCCCACTTTCCATCTCCATTCTGAAGGCAGGTAAAGGCGCAATGCGACAGAGCTGCAGCACTCACAGACAAGAGTTAACCCACCAGGCTGCTCGTCTTGCCGCTCTGTCACTCTCACTGTCTGTCTGTTAACAACTGGATCTCCTCCCTACAACTCTGGACCAGCCAAAGTCTGGATTACTGCACTTTTCTTCAGTTTTATGAGTTGGAATGAAATTCTCCTGAACGAAGCTGCTGTAATGAAATGTGAGTATGACTGTCTGTTGCTTGTGTGGCTGCTTTGTGTTTTACCTCTCTGCCCCTGAACACAAATTGATTTCAAACTTTTGCTGAAGCCTCTGTCCTAGGGTCAGTTTGGGCTCTTCTATTGCTGGTGTGGGAGCCTGCATGCCTGGGTGATGAGGTTACCTCCAACACAGGTAGGTGAGAGGTCAGTGGGTTTGGCCACACTGTTATGCCTCCATTGTAATATGAATTGTCGGCTAGCCTGAACATTTCCTGCGGCCAGATCTCAGGCAGGAAGCATATGATTAGGAGGCATTAAATCCATGTGTGAGCATGCCTGTGTTTTCATTTTCCCATAGTTTTATCAGGTCTTCCCCCAAGTACAATGGCCACTAGACATTCTTGTAACCCTGATAACAAAGACAGGTCCTTACAGGCCTGATCCTGGGACAATTACATGACTTCATTAACTAGACGTGGCACTGCAAAAAAGATGTAATGTTTGACACCTTATTTCTCTTGTGGAACAGATAATAACAGATTTCAACACATACCATCTTGTTTTGTACTTAATTTAAAGTGAAAGAGAGGTAAGATCATTTTATTTGTTTAATAAACGGAGCATGAGGAAGACGTGATTTCAAGACCCACCACTGCAAGATTTGCCAAAGTGGATACATGTATTTTCTTATAGTTAAGCCCCCTAATAAACTTTTCCTGCCTGACCTGTGGAGACATGCAGCCTGACCTGTGTGGCTACAAACCCCCCCCCACTTCCCTCACACCCCTTATATACACAATATACCATCCTGCCCTCGGGCCAGCGTTATCAGTTCACATCTTGTGAAGAACAAGTTTCACTGCCTCATTCTTTTGCATCTGTCCTCTGCTTTTCATGTGCAAAGACTTTTGATTAAGGAGTGAGAGGGTTATTCCACTGAAGCCCCACATGGGATGATGCGAATTCCAGGCTTTTGAAACTAATTGAGTCACAGGAGACAAACTTCTATAAACTATTGACTCACAGACAGTGATTCATTTCCATGTACCTGTAAAACAATGGGGGTACATTTGAACTTTTTCTGACCTATTTGATCAGATAGCGATCGTGTGGGTTTTTTTTTGAGTGTGCTGCTGAAAGTTCATCAGAGGAGCATGCCTTTTACCTGCATGTTTCTTAGTTTATCTCATTGTTCACATTGAATTATCACATTGTTCAACCTGCGTGTCAACACTTTAATTTATCTGTGCGTAAATCAAAGAGTGAAGGAATGTAAGCTGCAAACACACTTATCAACCATCATGCAGTAATTTAAGAGGCTGTAATTTCTCAACATGTGTAAATTTTGCTTGTGTGTCATGTTCAAAAACGTCCCTTAACATTAGCCCCCCCCCCCCCCCCCCCCCCCCCCGCCCCCCCCCCACCCCCCCCCCCCCCCCCCCCCCCCCCCCCCCCTCCCCCCCCCCCCCCCCCCCCCCCCCCCTCCCCCCCCCCCCCCCCCCCCCCTTTTGTTTCTGTGTGAAAGAACAAAGGGCTTTTCATGTGGCTGACCTGAATGGCAAAAATGTTGTTGTGTCCCCCCCCACTGATTTGTTTGATTTGTAAAGACTGATGAAGCCGCTTGGATAAGAGGCGAAACGTCTTCCACAGACAAATACAAGTCCAGTTGCCTTCGATTTAATTTGAGAGAGAGATTTGTAAAGACGTTTACGATACATATACAAGACATAACCATAACATAGTCATACACCCATGACAAAGTTCGTATTTCTATGTTTGCGGTTTTAAATGTCAGTTTTAAACACAGAATCCATCTTAAAGAGTGAATCCTAAAATCTTATGTTTCTAGGGGAATAGTTACGGTAAATAGGCTTATATGCTTTCTGGCAGAGAGTTAGATGAGAAGAACAATACCACTCCCATGTCTTTCCTTTAAATATAAACTCAGCTTGGCTCAGCACAAAGTCTGGAAACAGAGGGAAACAGGTAATACAATACACCTTCCAGCACGTCTAAAGCTCACTAATTAACCAATTATATGTAATTTGTTTACTTTGCTAGTTTAAGGGGTGGTTATGTGGCCAGACACAGTAGCTTCCTGCAGTCTCCGCTGGTAGTACCAGATCCCACAGTTCGTTCCATGCCAGTGTTCGAGAAATTGTTAGGAAACATTAAGAAATGATGACCTTGTAAAAGTAAGTGTTTTCAGAAATGTTAATGAGCTGAGATTGTTTTACCTGTTTTCAACTAAAATAAAGTTACTTTTTTCAACTGTCAACATTTGTACTACAGCAACAATGATCTTTTTTCAATGTGCTGACAATATTTTCTACAAAACTCCTGAAAAACAAGAGCTACACAAGGAAATTGAAATTGAAATGGAATTACATCATTGGCAGATGGCTGTTGTTTTTTTATCTTTTAAAAAAAATAGAAGCAGGTCCTGAGGGCTCAGTCAGAGAAATGCAGAGGTGGTAATCCAATCCAACAGAGATGTTTTTGTATGCGTCATATTGTAAGGCAGTCAAGATAGTAGTTGCTCTGGGTTTCTTAAAATGTCATATCTATATGAAATCTGCCTGCCAGAGTTTTTGTATACATTTCTGTGTATTGATATGAGTTCTTCTTCTTGTTTTCCACAGTGAACCCATGCTGTTATCTCCCCTGTCAGCATTGGGGTGTGTGTGTAAGGTATGGTGAAGACAAGTATGAGTGTGACTGCACCCGCACCGGCTACTACGGAGAAAACTGCACCATCCGTGAGTCCACTTATCCTTATGAGACCAGCCCTCATATTCTCTTTTATTACTCCGCTTTTTGGGAATTTGAAATATTCTGTTACTCCTTTGTACATAACATGGAAGGGGTCGGATGGTTGGCTGATGAAAGACTTTCATTTTGTTGTTGTTAAATCAGGAAATAGTGTAACACAGCCTGGCTTACAGAGTTAGGATTTCTTGTCTAGACCCAAATATTTGGAAAAACTTTGAGAAACAGGAGCATTTGCCAAGAAAAAGACCAGCTGTATAAGAACTGCTTCTGGTGATCGCTTCACTGAAGCACCTATTAATTCAGCTGGTCTACTTCTCATTAACAAGGACCCCTCACATACTGTAGTCCCTAATCAGATGTGATGTATTTGGCTGAAAGTTATGTAGTTACGTCACACTCACTAGGCATAAATACAATTAACCATTGCTTTGATTGTGCAGAGAAAGAAAAGTCAGAGTGGGAGGAGAAGGAAGGAAAAGATAAGTCAAACAGGATAAGGGAAAATGGGAACAAGTGACAGCCTAACATAAACTAATACCTCTTACGCAAGATAGAATAGCCAGATACACGTAGCTCCATTATTTTACACTGATAGAATCAACTTCAAAACATCCTTAGTACGTTTAACATTTTTGTTAAAGGAATAGTTTGATATTTTGCAAATATACTTGTTTACTTTCCTTGTATTCAAATTTAAATACGTTGGATGAAAAACTACATGAAACAACAAATAAAATGCCCACCATGTGTTAAAGGGTTGCTGAATAGCCAACATTAGCATTAACAGCTGTTTATCTACCATATCAGTATCAAATTTCCTTTCTTTACTTGCTAAGAGCCGTCTCCAGCGGTGGAAAGCAACACCTATGTTGACACTTGTTTTGCCTCTATTTCTATCCCTTCTTTTCCTCTAGTTGCCATAGTTGCCAATTAATTTACTCTTGGTTGACCAATCAATTAATTGACTGATCATCACGGCTCAAGTGGAATGTACTCCCCTCCTGACATGGCCAGGTTAACCTGCTAAGGGATCCCTGGGCAGAAGTGAAATGCTAAGCTCCTATTAGCCCCCTGTTCCCCACACACTGTGGATGCAATTTGTGCAGCTTCTCTACACTGTAATCCACTCGCTGAATTGCCGTTTTGTTTCATTCATTCAATAAATTGCTGAACAATTTTGAGATGTGGGTGGCTATTCAGAGGTCTGTAGCCAGGCTATTAAACCAAGCCCAGACTTGCTGAGTGTCCTGCTGAATGATTATGATGACATAATCATGACTTTGTTATACTGAGTGAATTTCCACTTTCATTTCCCAGACGCCCCTGATTTCCAGTAACAAAAGTGTGTTTTTCCATCACAGCTGAGTTTTGGACCAGAACGCGTCAGTTCTTCAAACCGAGCCCAGATGTAGTGCATTACATTCTCACTCATTTCCACTGGCTCTGGGACATCATCAACCACACCTTCCTACGGGATGTTCTCATGCGGCTGGTTCTAACAGGTCTGGAGTCAGCAGTTCAATTTAAGAAATTCATTCACGGATGTCACTCATTCACGTATTCTGAGAACCCTATTTTTTCTTTTTGTGTGAACAGTAAGGTCCAACTTAATACCCAGCCCTCCAACCTTCAACTCAAAGTACGGCTACCTCAGCTGGGAATCCTACTATAACCTGAGCTACTACACTCGGATTCTGCCCCCGGTGCCAGATGATTGCCCTACACCTCTGGGAGTCAAAGGTTAGCCCCTCATTTATACAAAGCTTAAAGCTGTAATAATCAATATTTCTGTATCATGCATGGATGATGGTGTCACTCGAACGGACAAATCAACAGACTATTAGCACCCAACTCTGCTGCAACTCTGATCTCTGTGGATCAATTTTGTGTCTTTCAGCTCATTGTTTTGGTTTTATGGCCCACACCTCTGGTGTTGTTCCATATCTGCTGGATGCGTGATAGATAACCGAATAACTTGTTGCTCTGCCCTCAAGTGGCAAAAAAGTCAATTAATACAAGTTTAAATATAGACCTCTATGTGTTGAGTGATATTCCCCATTTATAAGAGTGATATGAACCTCAGTGCTTTTTTGATAGCAAGTGAAATGTGCATATGAGTATTGAACAACAGTGGTGGCATGTACTAAGATAATTCCAGTGGGTGTGTTATTATTATTATTATTATTATTACTGTTGTTGTTGTTGTTATTATTATTGTTATGTGTTGCAATGATGTATAATTTTCACCCATGCATTCCCATGTAGTCAGAAATGTAATGTTTTACCTGCTCAAGGTAAAGGGTATTTTAACTACTTGTTATACTATTGGGTAGTTTAATGTATAACAATGTTAAATACAATATAGTATTTTATAAGGCATCTTATCTTGTATTTTGTATGAAAATTCTAACCGGAAATGTGTGCTGTACCTGTCGCATCAATGTAGTAATGTAAAGGTAAAACGCTTCCTACTAAAATGTGGGGAACTATAAAGTAGCATAAAATGGAATATAAATGTTGTAAAACTGTATTTACAGTAAGTATAGTACCTGAGTAAATGTACTAAGTTACTTTCCACAAATCGATTATTTCAATATTGTCTTACAGCATCAATAATATCAAATTCTGAAGATATCTTTTGCCCGATGTTTTATCAGTGAAACTAAACCTCTCACCACAGTGACACGCATGCAGATTATTGACCTTGAATGGTTCACAACTGTATCAGTGCTGTTTTCACAGATCAACTTTTTCAGTATTATGACTACAGGCTCAGTATATCTTTTTTCCTGTGCTGCATGTGACATTGTGGTGTTTCCGTTCAGGAAAAGGTGGGCTGCCTGACCCTGAGCTGCTGGTTGAGAGGCTGCTGAAGAGACGAACGTTCAGACCCGACCCTCAGGGCTCCAACCTCATGTTCGCCTTCTTCGCACAGCACTTCACCCACCAGTTCTTCAAGACCTACAATCGCATGGGTCTGGGCTTCACTAAGGCGCTAGCGCATGGGGTTAGTCCATTTAGAGCTTTTGTACATTTAATAATAATAATAAAAAATAATCCCTAATCAAAATAAATGTCACTTTTCCTTGAAGATCTAAGTATCTAGACAGTGTTGGACTAACAGAACGAAGACTGAGGAATCACCTCCCCGTTTACTCACCCAAATAAGACAACAAGACTAAAGTCTTAGTTGCGACCTTATACTATAATTTACCAGTAAAATAGTCAGTAGATTTACTCCAGTTTTGGTGGCGTGAAGCCCAACAGAATTTGGCTCTAATCTTTGTTTGTACTTATGCTTTTAATGTGACTTTTTAGTGATTCAAAAATAGAAAGTTGGTATATTTATTTGCTCTCATCCTCTCACTTATTTTCTGTCATGTGTGACACATACAGGTGGATGCAGGGCACATTTATGGAGACAACTTGGAACGTCAGCTCCACCTCAGGCTTCACGAAGACGGAAAACTTAAGTATCAGGTGAGAGAGTTGAAACTGTGACTAGAGAAAACACGTTCACAACAGGTTGGTCAAGATTGGAACAAAATTTAAACATGTGGTTTTCCTACAGTTTTGGGTGTAGTTTCCATTAAAAGGGCAGAGTGAATTTGTAGTTGTCATTGATCAAACATGCAATCTGTTACTCCCTTGTTTATCATTCAATCTTAGCAGCATCTGTATGCTGAACAAACATTTTGAAATGACACGTTGCAGCAGGAATATAGTGTCAGATAACATGGAAAGGGTTAGGAAAGATAAGATTTTGCAGTGACTTGTTTGCTGATATTGTGATTTGTTATTTTTTTCCCATCAGTTAATTGACGGCGAGATCTACCCTCCCTCTGTAGCTGATGCCCCAGTTAAGATGAGCTACCCCCCTGGAATCCCCCCTGAGGGTCAGATGGCTATTGGTCAGGAAGTATATGGACTTCTTCCCGGTTTGGGGATGTACGCCACACTGTGGTTGAGAGAGCATAACCGAGTCTGTGACATCCTGAAAGCAGAGCATCCCACCTGGGATGACGAACAGCTTTTCCAGACCGCACGCCTCATCATTATTGGTGAGCTGGGTGCACTTTCAAAAGAGTAATTTGACATTTTGGGAAATAGATTTATCAGTTTTCTTGTTGAGAGTTAGATGAGAAGATTAATTCCACTCACATGTGTGTATGGAAAATATGAAGTTACTGTCATTAGCTGGATGGCTTAGCTTAGCATAAAGAGTGGTAACAGGGAAACGGATAGCCTGGGTCTGTCCAAAGGTAACAAAATCTGCCCACCAGCACCTCTAAAGCTCACCAATTAACATGTTATATCTCATTTAAGTGTGCTTAATGGGGAGTTTATGCTGGGCTATTTTGTGGTGGGCCACAGAAAGTTTCTGGACTCTGTTGGTTACTTACCAGCCTCAAAGTGACGTCAAGTTTCCAGGAAGTCACTGCAGTAAGCCAAGAAAGACTCTGGCACATAACACCCTGTAAAACCGCAAATTGTTTCTATGCTTGGGTTTTTGTACAGGTTAAACAAACAAGATATGGCATGTTCACGAGTGAGCCTTAGATGCGCTGTTCAGTGGATGTTGTTAGCTTTGGATGGAGCCAGAGTAGCAATTTCCCCGTTTTCCATCTTTATGCTGTTGTCTGGAGCAAACCAAATTTTTTTCTCATCAAGAAAGCAAAGTATTTCCCAAAATGTCAGTCTATTCCTTTAACACATCAATTATTTTGCCTTTTTTATTTTGTTTGCCTAGTGCTGGTGTACTTGACATTTTTAATAACATCTCTGCAGACTTCCACATAAGATCATGGGTTTTGTTAGAGTCAGCTTAAGTTTGAACCTGTCCAGTTGTGACTCAGTCTGAGGTTGGCGTGTTTAATTATAATCTCCCTGCCCTCTCTCTCTGTGTCCCTGCGTGTTCCTCAGGTGAGACGATAAAAATCGTGATAGAAGAGTACGTTCAGCACCTCAGTGGATACCTGCTGCAGTTGAAGTTTGATCCCACCCTGCTGTTTAACTCCCACTTCCAGTATGGGAATCGTATTGCTCTGGAGTTCAGCCAACTCTACCACTGGCACCCCTTGATGCCTGACACCTTCTTCATTAACGGAGATGAGCTGTCATACACACAGTTCCTCTTCAACACTTCTGTTCTCACACACTACGGCATTGAGAAGCTGGTGGATGCTTTCTCTCGGCAAGTTGCTGGCCAGGTAACAAACCACAGACACACTAACTAACATCATGATGTAATATAATAAATATGCAAAAGGAGATTCATTCTATTTTTAGTGTACAATTGTTTGTAACTTCCTATCATTATAACAAAGTAATAGAACCTGCAGTAGTCTTTCAAAAAGCTGTCTTAATGTTTTTTTGGCATTCATACTTAATCTTCCTGTTTTGGTGGATATATATACATCCTGTTAATACTTGGCATGATTACAAGTTGACAACTTAGGGTATTGTTGTGTGATTAACTGAGTCTGGTGGAGACTGTTGTCGGGCTGAATGTTTTATAAGCTGAACAGAAACAGAATATTATGATATTGGTTTTTTGGGTTTCTTTTTCTGCCACATACTGAAATTTATGTATAGGCTGGAAACAATTAATATTTAGGCTATTAATGACAATCGTCACATAAATTATTACATTTTCAAGCCTACATTAGCCCATACACTTTTGAAACTTAATCACAGCTAAACATATACATACAACCCAGCAGCCTTTGTATAAATCAAAGCATGTCAACATGAGCTGCTTTTCACTGAATGGAAATGAAAAAACAGAGAATATCTTTTCTCTGTTTAATGAATTACTTCATGATGATTAAATAAGAAATTCTTTAGATATAATTGTGAACAAGAAACATAATACAGTGGGGCTGCATTAATTATGTAATTGTACTTTCCATCATTTGGCCCTGGCATTTTGATTAAACAAAGTAAACTTTATTAAGTAAAAACTTCATACTGGTTCATTTGAATAAAATGAATATCTCAAAGATTTTAAAACCCCTACTCATATTATACAGTATTTTGAATGGTGTTATGTTTCATGTTGTCAAACCTCTGTCCTGCAGATTGGTGGGGGCTATAACATCAATGCTGTGGTGACCAGAGTGGCTGTGGGAGCCATAAAGGAGTCCCGCCAACTCCGCATGCAACCCTTCAACGAGTACAGGAAGCGTTTCAATCTTAAGCCGTACACATCATTCAGACAATTCACTGGTAAGAAAAACAATTCTGTGTGCAGACCACACAGCACGAAGTGCAACCCTCAAAGCATGTGATTTATGGCTTTTGCAAGTCCATGAGAGCAGCTGAACATACATTCTTGGAATAAATGGCATCCGCTTGATTTCTAGGCATTTTGCTATATTGCTATAGCAATGTTTTCCATTGCTATCTTGTGAAGCGAAGTAACAGTTTTAGCCAAGTTCCTCAGTTGATGATACAGTCTGCATTGCTTGACATGCACTGCACTGTATGTACAACATCTGTATTTACATTAATGTTGGTTTGCATCATGTAGTTCTGGCACAGGAAAGTTATTCACAGGATAAAGATTATATAGCCACAGAGTCATCAAAGGTTTAGACACAGTAGTACTAAATTAGCTAAATGCTAACCATAGCATGATAACATGCCCGCAATAACAATGCTAACTTGATGCCTAGCTAATCAATTTAGCATGTTAGTATGCTAACATATGCTAATTAGCACTAAACACAAAGTACTGCTGAGGCTAATGGGAATGTCAGTAGTTTTGTAATAAACCAAAGTAGTGTACAAATTGAATGTTTGACTAACAATGGCACTAAATTGAAATTGTTGAACCATATTTCATGCTAATCCGTCCAGTATTTATTGAGATAATTTGCTCCAAACTACAAATGCCAACCACTTGGTGATACTAATGATCATCGGGTCTCATTTGAACCAAATTATATGGCAATCTGTCCAATAGCTGTTAAAATGATTAAGTAAAAAAAGACACAACCTGACCGATCAATGCTGCCATCTGTAGGGCCATGCTGCTAATGTGAGATTGTCCATTAACTCTGCAAACTTGTGATTACCTTTTGCAGATAATGAGGAGATAGCCAGTGTGCTTGAAGAATTCTACGAAGACATTGATGCTCTTGAATTTTATCCTGGCTTGATGTTGGAACGGACACGACAGGGGACCATATTTGGAGAGAGCATGGTGGAGATGGGTGCCCCCTTCTCTCTTAAAGGCCTCCTGGGAAATCCTATATGTTCTCCAGATTACTGGAAGCCTAGCACCTTTGGAGGCAAAGTCGGCTTTGACATAGTGAATTCTGCCACACTAAAGAGACTGGTCTGTCTGAACACCAGGACGTGTCCTCATGTGGCGTTTAGAATACCAACAGAGGAGCAATCACAGACAGGCAAAAGTGACAGTAAAGAACGATCTGATGAGCTATGACCCTTTCCAGGCACCAGAGGTTTATGGTTTGAGAGCATATATGAAGATAAAAGAGGCTGCTACTAAAAAACAAACAAGTGTTGAATATTTTTGAGAGGAGAATACAGTAATGCTTGTTTGAACAGCGCTGGAGAATCACATGGGACAGAGCTCAGTATTAAATCAAACATGCCTCTTCTTTAACTTGCTCAGTTAGTCTCACACAAACACATCGGTGAGGACATAAACATATGATTTTTGTTAAACGCTTAATGCCTGAGGACTGAAATACCAACACTGTCACTGTACAGTAATAAAGGTACAGAATGTACTGTCTGTAGGGTTATTTTAAAATAATAATCTTGCAATGTAATATTACCATTCACTGAAATAAAACTATAGACACAGAGTGCGTTATTGACCATTTATTTAGATTGGCAGTGAATAAAATCTTTGTTTTTACAATCCATTGTTCTGAACCACTGTCTCATGAGTTTCTATTCCCTCGTCCATTTCTCACCCACTGTTTGTCATCAATCCAGTGTTTTTTTTGGCTTGTGATTGAGCCCTGATGGCAGCAGAAGGCATACTCAAAAGGGTTTTTCCTTCAGCAAACGGTATACACAGCAGGGTTTAAAGACACATAAAACTGAAGCAATGTTTTCCTTATAGCTTAGATCATTTGATTTTAGGTAAACTCTGGTTACATATACAGTAGGTGTATTTCTGTCAGGAAACCGCCAGAAAAAACACATAAGCAGTGGTTGCAGTAGCACTGGTAGTAGTAGTGGTATGTATCCCATTTCATAGCCATATCGCCCTCTAGTGATGAAGTATTGAACTGCATAATAAAACTCCCAGCATCTTCCATGTGTCTCTGCAGACCTGAACCAGCTCCAAAGAGGTGGGGTGCCCCAAATTAAAGTTTTTCCCAGGATGATCATTAAAGAGACAGTGGAAACAAAAAGGCTAGACAACAAATTATGAAATTTCACTCATGTGCCTGCTCAGACTGGTGTTTTATAGAAACAAAGCAAAATAGCAATTTTCATGTCTTAAATGGCAGAGGTGCAGACACAGAGCCCAGTAAATCTTTCTCCAAATCTTCAAAATCTTATGAATCCTTTCATCTATGTTAAGTTTTGCTTGTTTCACTTTGTCAGAATTTTTTGTCAATAACACATTTAAAAACATTTTTTTTTTAAAGTTTTAATGCAATTAAACAAAGTCACAAATGGGTTAAATTAGTTGGGGAATAATATGCCTTCCCTCTCAGTCTCTCACTTGAGTTTATATTGCTTACATGCCTCAAATTTGGGAGAGCCTTTATTTTGGCCCTGCTGCATGTTCCCACTCTCTCATAAATAAAAAAGAAATTTAGAAAAAAGAGAGCGCCTTTATTCATATTTAAAGTGCACTCAGTCTACATCTGCAATCACAGTGGGAAAGTCTCCACAATCTGAAATCTCAGGATATTTCAGACGTCTTTTCTCAACATTCTCTAATCACAGTGTGAAACTTTCAGTGTGAGGTTTTATTATTATTCCACAGTTTTTCAGATCTTCATTATAAATTGAGTATGATAGTCCAGATGATATGTGCCAGATTTGAGGCGATATATTTCCGACGCCTACATTTCTGAAAATGTTTAGGACCCCATTTGTAGCCACAAGTGTACCAAGTTTCATGCTTTTATGAAAACGTGAACGTCATTTCCACATATCCCCTTAACAATAAATCAAAGGTGCAAAGCCATCAGCCTCTGGCCCCTACAAAGGATTGCTGTATCAATGTATTTCATGATAAAAGAAAACCATGAAATACCTCAGTGGAATCAAGTTTTATTTGCAGGTATATGCATATATGCCACAATATGCAATATTTCCTACGTCATTGGGATGGGCCATGTTGTCATGTTGCCTTTATGTGCTCTCAGTAAAGTCCAAATATTCCGTAAAGTAACGAAAAATGCGAAAATGTGCATATTTGGGTCGATATCTGTGTTCGTAAAGTTAAAGAAAATATTATAAATTAATCGACACTAATAAGTGACACGGCATCCAGTATATCCACATCATGAATATAGCCTGAATTGCAACTTTGAGCAAAATGTCGGTTGCCTTTGCGCCAATGTCTAACACATACGACACAACTGTGACCCGTGAAGGCAGCATAGTCCGTGGGAGTGGCTTGCAGCAGCTAAAGCTAGCGGATTAGCGTGAGCGGTGGTAGTTGGTGACATTTTACTTACATTAGCAGGCCATAGACTCAAGGTAAGATGGAAACCAAATATTCATGAGCAATTGATGTTTTGTATGTCGTTGTAGTAGTGTTTAACATAGGGATCGAGTTACATATGACGGTCTGTTCGGTAATGCTTGGTTTAGGGCAAGATAATGTTTACTAGTCAGCGGAAGAACAGCTAGCTCATTTGGCTAACGCTAACGCTCACTTTCACAAACGCAGTTAAAGTCTACTGGTTCGACCCGTGTCCTACTTAATAAACAAGCTAATTGGATTGTCTCCATCCTCTCTCCAATAGTGTTTAGGTACTTGAGGAAATAACTGTTACAGTTAACAGTTTGCTAACGATAATAACTAGTTGACTTAGCTGTCGCATCAGCAGGGATTCTTTTAAGGATGTGGGCCCTCTCTTCTACTGTTGTTTACATGTGTTGAAGACATTATATTCAAAGTCAGGGGAGATATATTTGTATTCATTGTCACCGAATGGCAGCCAAATCAAACAAAAGAGCTGTGCGCAGTAGTGTGGCATAATATTATCTTCTATTTTGCAATCTGACCACTGTCAAAGGGAGAGGGATTTTGAGAGTGTGTCCGCCCCCTGGTCTCTCCATCTGTGCACATACCGCTCAGTGCATCATTGAAGGCCTTTTAAGCTCAAGTTTTATAAATTGACACACTTAAGTGAAAGCTATGTATTGTGTAGATGTCCTATTTTTGAGATAAGCTCTTTGACAGCTTGGGTGGCTGTCAGTCTGGATTATTACGCTTCATTGATTGATGTGCTCACTCAGACTATTATGTGATAAAAGTGTTGTTAATCTGTAGAGGTTTTATCTGTGAGGCTGCAGCAACATTGTTAATAAGGCAAATGGCAGTTTTGTCTTGCTGTCAGCTGCCATGCCCATGCAAAATAGAATTTTTTTAGGCTGCAATCACTGCAACCTTATCGATTAACCTGGTTTAGAAAAAAACCCATCATAACTTTCCAGAACCCAAATTGATGTCCTTAAATTCTTTGTATATTTGCCCAACAGTAGTTGAAGCTCTAGTAAAATTACAATCCAAGAAAAATGCATCAGATTAGTTCATATTGACGTTTAATATACACACTTTCCCTTGCAATTAGTACAAAGATGAAGGATGAGCTCCCAGTCATGTTGATAATCATAATAAACAGAGACATAATGAAACTATCTTATATAAAAACATTATGCTTAGCTGTGTTCGGACAAATTTGTATTATTGAGTTGTATCGGTGTCCCGTTTAACTCATTAGTAACTTCTTCACTCAGGTGAGCCGTGTCATGACGACTCTGGATGACAAGATACTGGGAGAGAAGCTGCAGTACTACTACAGCAGCAGTGAGGATGAGGGCAGCGACAATGAGGATGAGGATGGAGAGAACAAGACCATCCGGGACGCTAACGTCAATGAGCCTGAGATAGACTACAGTGCTGATGGAAGTGCTGTCAACACAGGTATCTAACACAAATTTGAGAAGTTTTATTTTGAATAATGACTTAACCAATTAATCAATTATCAAAATGGTTGCCAAACAATTTTCATTTGCTCGACTAATAAACTAATTGACTTGTAAGAGTTTTTAGTAACACACTATTGTATTAGTGGTGTAAAAATGTCTTAAATGACACTGATAATTTTTTAGACATTTTCCATCACTGATTCATTACTAGTTTCCCACTTTAACTGATTATCCATTTATCATTTATATGGACATATTATTTATTTAGAGCATAGTACATATTTACAGTAGTTACTATGATGACAGTGACACTGGCTGTTCCTTCTCAGGACCAAAGGGTGTGATCAATGACTGGAGGAAATACAAGCAGCTGGAGGTGGAGCAGAAACAAGAGCAGAAGAAAGAAATGGAAAGACTGATCAAGAAGCTGTCGATGACCTGTCGCTCTGACTTAGACCTGGAAAAAGACAAAGAGAAACAAAAAGAGCTGCAGGAAAAAATTCAAGGCAAAGTAAGTAAGATGGGGACAAAATACACACATAGGAACGAAATGCTTGTGGAAACATCCCTTAGCTTAAATTTCTTCTTCCTCACACCGTCCCAGCAGTGCATTGGAGACTCTCTTGAAACTGTGCCACATATGCTAATGGAAAAAGGCTGAATAAGGGCAAGATATTAATTATAGATAACCAGATTAACACAGTGGAATCCCTGCGCCTTCTCTATTTCATGACATTGTCTAATTATGGATTAGTAAAGTTAGCACCTGCCAACCATTTGACACATTTCAAACGTCCTGAGAAATATTATTTAGGTTTATTCTTGTCATGGAGTTAGACCAGCATGGATACATTTTAAAGGAAATGTTTGACATTGTGGAAAAACACTTTTATATATGCATCAGACCATTATTTTGCTGGGAGTAGTAACTTTGTGTGATCTCCACTGGTATATTGGCCTGGACCAGCTGCCAGAAAATACTTTGGCACATTACCCTCTTGAAAAATGGTGAATTGTTGTTTTTATATCTCAGATTTTGTACAACTTAAACATACAAGATACTACATGTTTATTTGTCATCTTTGGACAGAAGGAGGCTTTTTGTTTTCACCCATTTCTAGTCTTTGTGTCAAGTTAAACTAACCAGCTACTGGTTATAGATTCATATTTACTGTGTAGACAGAAGAGTTGTATCAATCTTGTAATCTCTGTAAACCTCTGGGCAAAAAAGCAAATAAGAACTATTCCTTCAACTAACTGCGTGTGTTTTCCTCTTTGTCTACTCCACAGATGACCATGCAGGAGTACAACATGCTCCAGGAAGAGGAGGATGATGAAGACTTCCTCCAGCATTACCGTATGCAGCGCATTGAAGAGATGCGGCGTCAGCTCTGCCGTGGTAAACGTTTTGCGCAGGTCTATGAGCTTAACAGCGGAGAGGACTTCCTGGAGGCTTTAGACAAGGAGGATAAAAGCACACTGGTCATGATCCACATCTACGAGCCGGAGGTCCCGGGCTGTGAGGCCATGAGTGGCAGCCTGCTGTGTCTGGCTCAGGAGTACCCGCTAGTCAAGTTCTGCAGCGTACGCAGCTCGGCCATCAGCACCAGCGCACTGTTCAGAGACAGTGCTCTGCCTGCTCTGCTCGTTTACAAAGGAGGAGACCTGATCGGCAACTTTGTACGGCTCACAGACCAACTCGGGGAAGATTTCTTTGCTGTAGACCTGGAGGCCCTGCTGCAGGAGTACGGCCTGCTGCCTGACAAGCCCCCCGTTGTCCCGAAGACGGTTCGCAATGGAGCCATCATACAGACCACTGTGAGTGATGAGGACTCTGACCTTGATATAGACTAGAGCCATGATATCTAACATGCATTATATGCTTGGGAAACATGCGTACAGTCTGCATGGATGATAGATAATTTATATATATATGTGGACCCCCTGCAGTAACAGACTGAGCCAGGATTGCTATTTTACTACTCATACAGCTACATACAACCAGCATTGAAGCAGTACCAAAAGTAAATGCACAAAAAAACATCATGGTCCAGTGGACGTTCATCATTCCAAGGTAAACATGAGTTATATTTAATGAGAGTAAATATTAGTCATTATCATTATTGAGGACCTGTTGTTATGCCCAGTGAGAATGCTGTAGGTGTAGGTTGAGCTCTGACTGTCAACTATTTATTTGTGTTAAAACACATTTCCCTGTTTTGTTTCATGTGCATCTTCTTTGTTTTATGTGTGTCATTCTGTAGAATACAAAACCTCCAGATCTAACTGACTTTTAGTTAATTTTTTAAATTTTATATGTGCTGTACCATTTCAAATAGAAAGAAAAATAAACTGTTAAGTCTTTGGACTCACTGCCTGTTGTATTAATATTTATTAGAGTTGTCCAATAAAACAAAAAGAAGCAGAAAAATTTAAGCGACACTAACCAATATTTTTATTTCGACTAGGTGTGGTGTGAAAAGACATGCTCATAGTAAAGAAACCAACAGATAATAATCAGCCAGCTCTGCAGTTCCCCGCAGCTTTGAAGCATCCTTTAGCTTCTTTCAGCCCACTGTTTTGGTTTTCCAGCCCACTAGCTCATTCTTATAAACCTTGTTATAAACCCACTCCTACCTGCTCAGCATCAAGTTATAAAGTTACCAACTAGGGGATGAACATAGTGGAACATTTTAGCAGCTAAGAGCCAGATATTGCCCTCTGGAGCTGGTGGAGACCAAACCATAGCTAGAAGGAGCTTGAATATTGGACTTACAGTTATAACCTAATCCTGCATTGAATTCAGATTGCCAATGCAAGCACAGAAGATTCACAGGAAATGACGCATGGGCTCACACACATTGATTATCCACCTTACTGTCTACTGTTCAGTCGCTTTATACGTTATCACATTAGAAGTGCTCAGCTGGCAGAACACAGGAAACATTTCACCATGTTTAGCGCTGATGGCAACCGGTTATCAAAAATACCTCAACAAATCAACACAACTGCTGAATGTGTAAATACCAGTAAGCAACTGTTTCCTAACACATACCCTGACATTCATCATAACGACTTCTTAAGGCAATAATATGTCATTGTGTTTACAGATTCTTCTGCTGCCTCCAAGTGGCCAAAAATATCACTGCATGCAGCTTTAATATCCAGTAAACAGATTAGTAATGAAAGGTTAAACACATTGGGTTGCCTGAGTTTGTCCCATTTGTAGCCATTTATTGTATTTACAAATGAGCTCATGAATTCTAGTATTGACATTTTTAAAGCAGACATTTCGACTTGTCAGATAGGTTTAATTAATACTATAAGAGTCGTAGTAGTAGATTAGAGTTATTAGTGTTATTAGTATAAGTGCTGTGAAAAAAGATGTGTAATTTTTCAAGGAATCCAAGCTACTCCATGTTTGTTGGTGTTTATAGCTGCACAGTTGAAATAAGTAGCATAAATTATTTGGAGAATAATAGTAAAAGTAGAAGTCTCATTTTGTTAAGATCTTAAATTTGTAGTAATATATTATAAACAGAGATATAAAAGTATCTTATGTAATTAATTCCCATTATCATCACTATGATAATGACAAAAATATGGCTGATGAAACAACTGCTACACAAGTAACTGAAAATGGAAGAAAAAAAGAGATCATCTGCCCACATAGCCACAATAAAAATAATTAGATAACAAACAGAGTTTAACCTGCTATAATTCAGCTTCTTCTGTGATGATACACCAGCATCAACAGGCTCCTTTCCAGTTCAGTAAATTTCCCAGAGGTGATTTGTCTAACAGATTGTGGATAGGTCAAATCATCCAATCCTGTCCGCTCGATAATCACTCTGGACAGGAAGAGCCAGGGTTAGTGCTAATCTCTGTAACAATATCAAAACTCACCATTTAGCTATATTAAATTACACAGTATCGTTTGCACTTGTCCCCGTTGGCAATGAGATGCTAACTTTACTTTGTATGGAAAAAAGTGAACAGCCTGGAAAACAGCTCCTCAGTGGACACCAGGCTCATGTCACCTATAAACATCTCATCAACAGCAGGGTGAGGCAGGGTAATGTCAGCAGCAGGAGGGCTGTGTCTTCATATAAAGAGGGAGCAGCTGAGCCGTGCAGGTCATGTCCACAAAAGGCATGTTCCAACAGGAGATGGGTTTCTGCACTGATGCCTGCCAGGAATGGATAAATACTGTCACATCATTGTGTATTTAGCAACATTATCTTTATAATCCAGTGTTTATTATCCACGAAGTGCTGCTGGAAGGTTCACGTGGGGCAGAGTTGATTAACAAATCATTTCATTATCCCTCTGGTGCTTACATGACATGTGAAGTCTAACTGCAGCCCACATGGCCATGGAATCAATGCCGACTAATGGTATGGCCTGTGTCACAACTCGACTGCTCAATGCAGTGAATCTGCTGGAGGCTTTTCACAACTGGTTTCAGACCTTTCTGAATTTACTGAAATATTTCGAGGCAAGGAAACGATACACACCATGTTCCGACCATTCATCCCACAGACGCTGAACATCCTCATCATGATGCTCATGGTGTTCATGATGATCTGGGTCTGTATTAAACACACAGAATAACTGTATTATTGTCTTTCCTGCATGTCACGATGCATGAAAAATAAATAAAATAATAATAATAATAAATAAATTTTAAAAGTCATGCAGAGATGGTTCAGTCCTCGGGGTTAAGTCAAATGACTGAAAAGAGAAAGCTAAGTCAATGCTGTGTGTTTTCAGAGAAAATGAATTAATAAAAAGTAGCGGGGAAAGGATTAAGAGAAAAAAAGACAGGACACCAACAGGAAATGAAAGTAAGGGGAATGACTAAGATGGAAGAAAAGAACAGACAGCTGTTTTGACCTTGGGGGGGGCGGCAAACATTTTCAACCCATATCCATTTGAAAAGTTCTCACGCAATGCACTAGAGGGGATATATTACACATCCTGTGTATTAAGTTTAAATTCTGTGTAACATTTTTTTTCAACTTGTTTTGTTTTATTGGTCATATGCACAAACAAAATGCGCAGTCAACAACAGACTAGTGTGTAATGAATAATAATTAAAAACAAAATTTCAAAAAAGAAACATAAAAGATAAAAAAATTCAATGATAAAGATTTTTCTCTTATCTATAAAATCTTTTAAAATTATTTATTGCAAAAAATTGTGCCTAAGAAAAGAGATAAAGTGCAGTTCTTGAAAGAGATGTTAATATTGTTTGTCACAAAATATAACTAACAGTGAGCTTGCATAATTTACACATAACCATATCTTTGAATGATTTTGCTGAACCTCATCTTCTTGGTTAGAATTTTGAATGTAATGAATGAGGAATCCCCTGAATTATTACTATGAATACTGTTGAGTTTTGCTGTATTTCTAATTGGACTCTATGTTGCACCAGAACATAACTTTCCTTTATAATGAGTTTCCTATTGAATAACTTCTATCTGTATTTATATTTTATATATAAATATATAAAGAGTACCGTTTGAGTGATGCCAGAGCATCCGTTTGAGTTCCCTGAGGGCCTGGGTGAGGTTCTCTAGCTGGTCATGGAGGTGGATGTTTTCCTCTATCAGTGCATGGATTGTATCCTGTAGTTCAAAGCTCTGACTCTGCAGGACCAGCAGTGTCAGCAGCATGAAGAAGAGCACTGGCCTTAGTCCCCTCATGGTGTCCGCAGCACACAGCCTCAATCACATCTTCACAGACACCACGCCATGCCTCTCTTCGGTTTATCTGGATCTCATGCGATAGAGACGGGCTTCCCTGCAGAAATGATTGGTGCAGGATAGTTTATCAGCTTAAACTCAAGGGGAGGTGACAGCAGTTTGTTCTTTCTTTCCAAAGCCATGAGTGGAAAGCTGCCAGTGGGCTGCTTTAAAATCTATCCAATGTTTCCACATCAGTGGACACAGTGACTACAGCATGAGGCCTCAATATGCTTTAATATGATGTACTACAGATGAAAATGATACACTTCAAACTTCAACCGTGTACAGTCTTAGCTGTTTAGTTCTTTAGAAATGGATGTAAAATACAGTCAGAAAATATAGACAAAAAGAAGCACCTCCACACTGCGGGCACAGATAATCGATGCAGACAGACAGACAAGCTCACAGTATTTAATTAGTTGCAGCTCTTCTCTGTCACATGAATCATCACTGGGATGTCAGGGCAACAAGGTCAAGGGAGTGAACTGAAACCAGGTGTTTCCAGGTCATGGATGTATAAATATTGAAAAACCTGTCGAAATTTTAACAAGCATAAAATGCCTTAGGACAATTATGATCCCTGAATAAGTGTGCAGGTTTCAATTGAACTTTTAAAACAGCTTGTAGACAATGATAGACGATTTTTGACATTTTTGTGCCGTATTATACTATGACATTTTTATGCCTTACTATACTATGACTTTTTGTGACATTTTTGTGCTTTACTATACTATGAGGTTTTTGAACATTTTTATACCTAACTATACTATGACAATTTTATACATTTTTATACCTTACTATACTATGACGTTTTTTTGTCATTTATGCCTTACTATATTATGACGTTTGATTACATTTTATGTCTTACTATACTGTGACCTTTTCGGACATTTTTATGCCTTACTGTACTATGACATTTTTATATATTGTTACGCCTTACTATACTAGAACATTTTTATGCCTTAATATACTATGACGTTTTGTGTCATTTTTATGCCTTACTATACATAATGTTTTTATGCCTTATTATACAATGACATATTTACATATTTTTATTCCTTACTATACTTTGATGTTTTTTTGTAATTTTTAGGCCTTACTATAGTATGACGTTTTGTGAAATTTTTTTGCCTTACTATGCTATGACGTTTTTATGCCTCACTATACTATGTCATTTTTATGCCTTACTATACTATGACGTTTGTGTGACTTTTTATGCCTTACAATACTTTGTTGTTTTTTTGACTTTTTATGCCTTACAATACTATGTAGTTTTTTTTAACTTTTTATGCCATACAATACTATGTCGTTTATATGCCTTTTATGCCTCACTATACTATGTCGTTTTTATGCCTTACTATACTATGTCATTTTTTTGACTTTTTATGCCTTACACTACTACGTCGTTTTTTTGACTTTTTATGCCTTACACTACTACGTCGTTTTTTTGACTTTTTATGCCTTACACTACTACGTCGTTTTTTTGACTTTTTATGCCTTACACTACTACGTCGTTTTTTTGACTTTTTATGCCTTACACTACTACGTCGTTTTTTTGACTTTTTATGCCTTACACTACTACGTCGTTTTTTTGACTTTTTATGCCTTACACTACTACGTCGTTTTTTTGACTTTTTAT